AACTAAATGATAAAGATCATAAAACTAAGTGTTTACATGCATTTCTTCATAAATTTTACCTCAGTGTATTCTAGTCACAATATTTAAGCTTGAATTCGGTTAGTTATATAGACAAATAATTCAACGTCATTTTAAGCTATCATACGTTAGGCAATCACAGAAAACTCCAGACTACTGGACGAGTGGTTTTGTTTTCCGATGCTGTTCGGTGATACCTCACAAACCTTTAGGTTCTGTGATAGAGTCCAGGGGCAGACTTATTCCAGCTGAGTAAACTTATGCCACCTAACCACTTATAGTTCAGTGTAATGCATATCAGTTTCACTGCGAGAGACCTAGTCAATACCAGAAACTGTTAAGTGACGTGTAGCTCTATACTATTTGAAAACAAATGGCATACAGGTGTATGAAAGAATTACATTATGCCTTAACTTTCGGTTGTGTTTCTGTAGTTAGGTCTCTTGATAAGCTTCTGTAAAACGAAAACAATAATATAATGGTTGATGTTTTAAAAACCTTCTTCACTATTTTCCGAACTGAAAATGAGATACAGTGAGTTTCATATCCAACCCAATAACAGGATATTCTAATTTTTATGAAATACTGATAGAAACTTGTGTGCCTACTGATGATATTCTAAATAAGATGTAACAGATTTAAACTCAATGCATGTTTGTGATTACCATACTGAAGTCTGACTTGTTTCCAGCTTACTATATTACCTTTAACGTGTTTTCCGAAAACGTTTCCCTTGTCGCACAATATTTCTTTCACTTAGTCTCAATAAAAACAACTTCAGTTTGATCCTTTCTGATAAGTTGCATGAAGGTTTATTTGTTTTTCTTTCAGTAATGAATCATTGCCCTTAACAATTCATCCATTATCTAGACCAACAACCTGTCGTACGTTTTTAAACTGGTATTCATAATCATTGCCGAACAACTGTTTACTAAAATTGTTGATATTAGTACTAATAACGGTAATGGTAGCAACATAATTTTGAGTACTGCACCAAACTATTTCATTTACTTTTTTTATATCCACTAATTTGATAACGATATGCACACATCAATGTACGGCAGGCTTGTAGTTAAACAACATTAAGTATGAAATGAGCGTATTTGCGAATTCTGATTTTACTTAATATCTTAGGAATAATACTACATCTAGAAACTTATAAGATGTATTAACCACAATGTCAAATTCTTGACTTCACTACGCATTTTAAATTAATATTACTTTTGCTTACTTCTGTAATCTCCTCGGGTTTTTCAACCATATACTCTCCCGAATCAATTGCAGATTGTACACCCTGTTCCCATTCATCTGGAGTAACAGATAATGTAGTTTCCTCAGATTCTGTGCGCTTGGTAACTATGGTACCATCAGGTAGAATTTCTTCAATCTCCTCAAATTCATGCGATTCTTTCGGGATTGGTTGTATTATATCTGGAATGACCGAATCTATCTGAAGTACATGGGAAGGCGAAACTTCTGATTGTAGTCCAGTAGTAGGTATTTCATCTAAAGTAGGTTTGGCATCTTGAATATTGCCAATCTGTTGACTAGTATCCACTCGTAGTGCTTTCCGATAGGCATTCTCGAAAGACTCATCATCCACGAGATTTTCTAAGGATGGGATGTGTAATTCTGAACTCAAATCTTCTTCACGTTCAAACCTTTCTTCTGAAAAAGTCAAAAATTCAAGCATGTAAACTGCTACACTAAATAAAAATCTCACATTAATTTCTTAATTATCGTTTCACGACCTGGAACACAACCTTCATTGATAACCAGCTAAATTAATCATTCAGACTTCATTTGTAAGTTGTCACTCAAAACTATTGGTTCACATTAACAGGTATGATGATCGACCATTAAGATACACTTAATTATAACTCTCATAAAGTTATTCATGTGTGTTTAACTAGCTTAAAAACATGCGTGCTATAGTCAACCAAACTACCCGCTGGTTACTGAAGGAGAATCCAGATTAAAAAGTTGTTTTGATATGATAGAGAAAACACTGAACTTCAAAATAGGCCCATGTAGTATTTATTAAACTGATACTGGTGATAATAAGGGCATTTTTCAGCGGTACAGTCAAAGATTGACAAGTACCCCTCACAGGTTACCTCCAACTGTGTAAATCAATTCACATGCATCTGCGGGAGCAGTTATACTGGAAGAACAGAGAGGAGGGCCTCCATCATATTCTGCGAACATGTACCAAGGAGCCTCCAGTTAAAGGGATTGAATTGTTTAAGCTCTTCAATCGCCAAACACCTGATTGACACAGGACACCAAGTAGATGTGCTGGAATCATTCAAAACAATTTACAGACAAAGTACCTCAAGTCTGAACGAAGAATATTCTTTTCAATAATTTCTCTTCAGGTTCTTACAATTATAAAATGTAATATTTGTTGTCGTTACAATAAAGGCCAGTTATGCGGCAGATACATTTTAACGTAGAATAACAGATTAGTTATGAGGTGTCAAAATAAATAGTCGTATTTGTGTGACAAACGTGCTAGGCTGAATTCGATTACAAAATATTGTAAAACGGGAGACAATGGTGATGAATTATAATAGATTTGTAGAGTGTGGGGTAGGAAAATTGACAAGTCAGTTCAAGGTTATCAAATCAAATTCCTCGAAAAAACGAACACAACTGATGAAAGGCTTAGAAAGCCGAACTCCTGAATGTAGATTTCCTGCTAATCCCAAAAGGTACGTGCATAACTTTTCTAGCGTGACTCTTGACAAACTACAACTTGAAGCGTTATCTCTAGGACCTAAGTTTTGCGATTTTTGTACGGAGATTAGTCAGATTGACACCGATGTACAGTTCGAGAACTTCTATATACAAACAGGGGACTTGATCGCCTCCTCTGATGAGGACCTAGAAAGATTCAAATCAACCCTGGTAGACTGTTGCCATCAGTATAGACAGAAGGATAAGAATAAGCCCCATAGTATACTCACAAAAGCGTATCGAGAAGCTGTTAAAAAACTAAGACGAAATGAAAACATAGTTATAACCAGACTGGATAAGGCACCGGGGATAGTCATTATGGATAGGCAGGACTACATCAACACGTTGAACTCCATACTACCTGACGGCAGCAAGTTTCAGAAGCCGAAAGCAATGAAAGATCATACGGAAAAAGTAGAGAGAGAAATAATAAACTTATTAAAGGATTTGAAGAGTAAGGGGTATATATCACCAAAGACTTTCGAAAACATAAAACCCACAAGCAGCATCATCTCACGCATGTATGGTCTACCGAAAGTGCATAAATCAGGAGTACCCCTACGCCCCACACTAGACATGTCTCATTCAACCTATCACGAGACAGCGAAGTGGCTGGTACAGCTACTTCAACCCTTGCATGACGAGTTAGTAAAGCATAGCGTCAAGGATACCTTTCAATTTATTGATAAGATCAAAAACTTGAACGCAATTGGAAAATACATGGCATCACTTGATGTCTCATCTCTATTCACTAATGTGCCTCTAGTGGAAACCATCGATTATATCTGCGAAGAGATAATAGAAAAGAAATTGTGCACCGATATTCCGATTAGTAATCTGAAACAACTACTTGCTAAATGTACAGCAAATGTTCAGTTCTTGTTTAATAATGAAATATACAGACAGATTGATGGAGTAGCCATGGGATCCCCACTGGGACATATTTTCGCAAATATATTTCTAGCAAAACTGGAAAATAGTCCGTTGAAAGAGGAAATAGCAAATATGGAAATGTGTTGTCGTTACATGGATGACACTTTTGTAGTGTACGATGAAGGGTTAAGTAGTGATTTGATTCTGAGCAACTTCAATAATGCTCACCCAGCGGTCCATTTCACCTACGAAGGAGAATGCAACAACTCTCTACACTTCCTCGACGTCCTACTAACGAGAAGAGAGGATGGTTCCGTCAAAAGAACCATATTTAGAAAGCTAGAGACCAAAGCTCAGTATACAAACTTTCTTAGCTTTGTACCGATGAAATACAAACGTAATCTAATCAGATGCTTAGCATTTAGAGCAAGGTCTATTTGTTCCGAAGACTGTGTAGATAAAGAACTTCAGGTCATCTGAGACATTCTAAGCGAGAACGGATATCCAGAGAAGTTCATTAAAGCCAACGTAGGTTACAATAGCCGTAAACATGAACTGGCAACGGTGAAGAAAAAGCCTCTGTTTTTACGTCTCCGATTCAAGGGAGATACTCCTGCGGAGATTCTACCGCAACGTTTAACCAGGGCGATCAAGAAAACTTTCTACTCTGCACGTCTGTGTCTATCCTTCAGTAGCCGTCCAATGTTCACCCAGCAACTCAAAGATGTCTTACCTAAGCTTAGCTCTTCTTCATGCATATACCATTTCAACTGTTCCTGTGGTTCAAGTTATATAGGGCGCACGATTAGGCAGGTTCGTCTACGGGTTCGAGAACATTTACCAGCTTGGTTCAGCAAGGGGGAAATTAAGTGCATAAAAAGCTCGATCCTGTCACACTTGGTCGATACTGGACATCATATCGATGTCAACACAGCTTTCAGGGTTATATACCGAATTCCGAAGTCGTTATCACGTACAGTTCGCTTACGTCTTCTACACATAGCTGAAGCTGTTGCAATAAGATCGACTAAACCGGAACTTTGTATCCAAAAAGAACACGTCCAGACGCTGTTCCTACCGTGGCCAAACTTGGATTGATGATTCTTCTTCTCACCAAGAGTGCTCCTTCCCCTTAACCCTCTTGGTTTGTTTTCCTTTGCTTATTATTACAAATATTATTATTACAATTATTATTATTATTCGTCATAATTTATGCCCTTCATGCAAACATTCTCTCAATACTATCGAATTTTTTCGTTTATACTATCCGGACTTATTATTAGTGATATTATCTCTTTTCTCAATATATGCCTCCACCTGTTTCATTTCACATATTCGTTATCTCATTATGAACCTCCCATTGCAGTCTTACTATCTCCTGTTTAACACAGACCACTTTGTACTAGCCACTCACCTGACACCTTTTATAACCTTGAACTGACTTGTCAATTTTCCTACCCCACACTCTACAAATCTATTATGATTCATCACCATTGTCTCCCGTTTTACAATATTTTGTAATCGAATTCAGCCTAGCACGTTTGTCACACAAATACGACTATTTATTTTGACACCTCATAACTAATCTGTTATTCTACGTTAAAATGTATCTGCCGCATAACTGGCCTTTATTGTAACGACAACAAATATTACATTTTATAATTGTAAGAACCTGAAGAGAAATTATTGAAAAGAATATTCTTCGTTCAGATTGACTTTTAATTCATAATATGGGAATTTTCCACACTATCAAATCATACCCCAAGTCTTCTCAGGTTTGCTGAAGCTATAGCAATAAGACGATTAAAGCCTGACTTATGTGTCCAAAAAGAATCTGTTTTTGGACTTCAATTACCCTGGTGACACACTTCTTAGTAACTCTTTGTTTTCTTATTTTGTTAATTTTGTTAACTTACCTTTTCACTTCACCTCCCCCCTTTATTTTTCGCTTGACTCTCTTAAGAGATAATTTTTCTTGATCTTCTGAGTTCTGCTCACTGTATTAATTCATCACCTTCTCATGTGACCTCATGTGCACCGAAATTTGAAAACTTTGATCTTCTCTTATCTAATTACGTAACTACAACTAGTTGCCGTTTGTTACCACCCCAACAACGCAACTATTAGTTAATTTTTTTCAAGAAACTTCTCTCTAACAAGATATATATGTCATAACATTTTAGACACCGTGTAAATCGCAACGCCTTATTTTACTGTGCCGCTCTGACAATATGCTTGCTAATGGACAAAGGTTGTACGCGGCTGATGAGAACCAACGAAATGAAATGGATCCAGATTATTCTTCGCCAATGTTTCTTCTTTCTTTGTTCAAATTTATAAAAGGGAATCATTGTATGGGATAGAGTAGGGTTTTGTCACTTGACATTCATTTTCATTGTTCAGAAGAATCCCCAAAGGAATCCTGTGAACAGAAGTTTGGAAGCTAGGAATCGGCACAATACGTAGTGGATACATAACACATGAGATGTATCCACTATTAGTTTCGTGAAAACTTTCTCCTATCTCCGTTTTTCTCTTACTATCTATCCTGGACCATATAATTTTTGTAAATCAAGAATTTTTCTGCATATCGTCAATTATTAAGTGAAATTGTATATGTGGATTAATTTTAATCTTATCTTCATGTTTTTATGCGGAGACAATGAATTATCCTACTTTTTTGTCCTTCAAGTGTACCGAACTGCTATAACGCCCACAAAAGTTCAATGCTAGAAGTTTAAATTAATTCGGAACAGATTTATCACATGTCTTAATTCAGAAGATTTTCAAACGAAGAATGAGCGATATCATTAAGAAAACATTTTGTGTGACTGAGATCCAGATAATTGAGAGTTCGAAGTTTATATCCACTTCGTATTCACTGGTATGCATCAGCTTTAGTTTACGTGTGGCACAAATGTATATGTAGTAATCACCAACATTTAGGAGTAAGAGTTAAGGAATATTTCCTAAAGTGTCTTCAAAAGAAGATTGTTTTAGAAGTTTAACCTTTTTAATCACAAAATATATTATTGAAACAAGGTATAAGATAGACGCATAATTTTCATTGAAAAACGTCTGTAACACTTATTGAAAGGGGGATTTCTAAAGCCTGTGGATGCCTTAACCAATACGAGGTTTAGACTATCTTTATGCATTTTCAAGCACCTTTTCATCATATTAAATTGTACCTGGTAAATTCGGTTTAGAAACAAAGGCTAGTGAACGATTATTTCGTCTTTGGCTTGTTGATTTTCATTATTTGACCTTCAATCTAGTCCTCCAAATTAACCCATTTTAATTTTTCTTCTTTACCTTTTTATCATTATTTTACAAATTTCTGTGACAGGTGCGTGTGTTATTGGACTGTCTGAAATGTGTTATGCAGGCACATTAAACAATTCAGACAAATTATGTCTCATTATCTTCTCAATAGAAAAATTCTTCATTTAACTTGTCTTCTCTTAGCTCTACGAGGCACTATTTTATTATCATCAATTTGGCACCTGTTTATGACATTTTTTACCTCATGTGCAAAAATGAGTTACATGAAGTCTGAACATTTTGTAGTATTTTTGGTCGAATTTTTATACTAACTTACTGAATCGACTTTAGAATATTGTGTTGTAAGCTCATTAATTTGAATAAACATCATAAGAACTTTGAAAATGTCACATGTGACTTCTAGATTCTTACTGAATTTTTTTTATGTAGATTTAAAAATGGTTCATTAGATGAGCACTACCACTGTATAATTATCAGATAATAGTATCCAACCTTTTCGTCAACATTTTTCTAAAGACATAACTGAGCCAATTAATTACATGGGTTTGACTTGTTGACTGTCTTGTAGATATGAACATAAAAGATCGAACAATGTATTCATTTGATGTTAATTCTTCGTTTACTAATGTACCGTTGATTATGACTGTTGATATTGTTTGTTTAATAATTTAATAATTCCGATTATAGCATTAAGCTATTCTTCGTGACCATATATCTTCTAGTTATTTTCATTTCCTTTTCCTTTAACTTATTTGGAAGATTTATTTGGTTTTTAGGGATTTTGTTTAATTGGATGCAGGATTTCATTATGAGCTGAAATCAGTTAGCAGCCACTGGAAAATCTGGGAGTGCTGGACAGCTACTTCATTCTGGGATCGAAACCCGATGCGTGTGTGCTGATGAAGAGTCTCAAACTAAAATGAAACAGCCTTCTAGTACTCCCAGGGTTTTCACAGTTTCTCTAACTGATGAAATCCTCCATCCAATGAAAAATTTATTACTAATATGTACTGACAACGTACATTTCACGTTTGAAGGTGAACACTTTCGATAAGCGGATTGTTTTGCTATGGGGAGTCCATTAGGACCTTTGTTAGCAAACGTTTACATGTCTTATGTTGAGAAATTGTCCCTTGGTTTGATTTCTAAATTACCCTTCTATAGGAGACATTTAAATGATATCATTTTGATATGTGATGATCATGAAGATGCGAGTTGCCTATTATATAGACTTAACTCTGTACAGAATCATATAAGTCTAACATTCGAGGAAGAAAGTTGCAACCAGCTTGCATTTTTAGACATAATTCTGAGTCGAACCGATGATGGTTCAAAAAGACGATCAATTTACAGAAAGTCTACTGGGACAGGGCAATATCTTAATTTTCACAGTTTCTGTCCATTACAGTATAAGAAAGGCTCGGTGAAATGTCTATTTAAGATAATTCAATGTATTTTCACAGCTGATGTTATAGAGAAAGAAAATGAAATATTGATGGATACTCTTGGTTAGAATGGATATCCTTTAAACTTTTTAAACAAGTGTAGAAGTCAATTAGTCTTCAAACCTACAACCTATACCGCCCCTAAGAAAATTGTTTTCATCAAATTACCATATAACGGTGAAATAAACAGTAGGATTTTGAGACAAAGGTTAAATTTCGTTAGCCGTAGGACCTATTATGCAGCTCGACTTGTAATTATCGAAAAAACCAAGAATACGCTCCACTGCAAATCTCAAAAGTGCACAAGTCACATTACACACTATTTACCAATTTTCGTGTGTGTCTGGATACATACATGGGGAGGAGTAATCGCGCCTTGCATGTGAGGGTGGGAGAGCAAATCCCGAAATGATTAGAAAAACAAATGAATTGTGGAAAATCAATCTAATCGAGATGATTGATGTTAATACAGCTTTTAAGGTCATCCATAAAAATGGTCAATCATTATTTACCTCGTGTTACTTATTCTTATTTTAAAAAATCCTTTTCGTCACTTTGTTCAGTTTAATTGCCCTAAATTTTTCCATATATATATCGACTTGACAAGTAAATGTGTGATCAGATTGTTCAAAATGTGTAGCTCGAATACAACACATTTTTCAGATAATCTCTGTCTTCTTATAACACTATCCAAATTTGAAAATAAGTGGAAAATATATCTCACCAAACCTTTTTTAAAAGCTATAGAAACATTTAAGAACATGATAAGAGAATTAGAGATTTTTAAGCTACCTACCGTTGCTTACAGTTGCAGATGATGCTTGTTCTTCAAGGTATTCATGCATCTTTTGTAATGCATTAGTATTAGGATATGGTTGTAAGTTGTCATGCGGCATATATCTTTCACTTGATGACCCCTGTGAAATATTAGAAACTGCAGTGCCAAATTTATTCATTTCCGCATCGTTCATTGTAAAGTCTGCAGTAGATGCAGATGGTGACTGAGATACAACTGAATGTTCTAACGCCACTGATGCGATTCTTACTTCACGATCGTTTGTAACTGGTTCAATTATGTCTTCTATTATTTCAGCCAAACCACTTAGTGGTATTTGTTCCACTACAATAAACAAAGTGAAATCATAGAAAATGCTGACAAAGAAGCTCATGATGAGTAACTGTACATAGTTTTATCTTTCAGAGCAATAACGTTTCCTTTTTTAATGTTCAACTTCTGAACGTAAAGACTATAACAAATATGGATTTCCATTATATCTTCTCCACACTTTATCAGTATACAAAGCTTTAAGTACATGTGTGGAGTCTGTAACAACACGATTGTACATTTTTTTTGTTAGATTTTAAAACTAGAAACACTGTACACAAATTTTGTTTAGATCAATTCATGTTGTAGTATACATAACTGCGGAGTACAATCAAAAATACAGTGTGCTCCTCTTCGTCTTCTAACTAATCTATATTATTTACTTTTGTCACTACTAACTGGCGCATACTTTGCATTTGGCAGGAACCTCCTATCCTCATACGAAGACTGTTCTGCAGCCGATGCACAGCTTCTACCAGTAGACACGACTCCAACAGTGAACATTATTGTAGATTATATTAATAATTTGTAGCAGCAGACTTTAACTGTATAACCAAGTAACCATTAATTTATATAACTCACTAACTGTATTTTTATAATATACTGTTACATTATCATTTCATTATTTTGGATTTTTATTCTAATATTTGTTTTGTTACCGATTTCGCTATAAAGTCCTCTACAAATCAATTGATGAACCCGAGGTGATTCAAACATGCAGCCTTCTGATTTTTTTGAGTGGCACACTGTATTTTAGATTGTACTCCGCACTTATGTATATTTCAACATGAATTGTTTTGAACAAAAGTTGTGTAGAGTGTTCTAATTTTAACATCTAACAAAACAAATGTACAATCGTATTGTTACAGACTCAACACGTGAAATTTAAACCAATAATGTTGATTTCAGGTTAATGATAGATATTAAGTACTGTAAATTTTATGGGTAATGGTAATATCAGGGAGAAAATTATAAGCAGTTGAATGGATGAAAGTAACACACGATGATTGAATTTGGTCACATATCTAACAAGTGGGGCGAAAAGGAGCCGCTCCGATGAAACACTAGATAGTGAATTAGTTCACATCCAAAATATGTTGATCGAGATAACTTGCTGTTTATGACTTGTTGTTCATGATTATCTAGCCGACCAACATCATCATCTAGTTATCCCACTTTTATGTGAACCTACAAATTTAGTTGCTTCTTTAAAGTAACTTCCTTCGTGGCTAGGATAAAGTTAGAGAGACTCAATAAGCACTTATTTGACTGTTAGCGGTCTGCAAGGGGAAAGAAAAATGCCTTTTGCGATTATTTACCGAACTGTGTTGAACCTTCAGAACTTGTTTTTGACACAACCGAAGCTACGGCAATTCGGGAGAACAACCTTTGTCTGTGTGTGCCAGAAGGGTTTGTTCTCTCTTTGCCTCTCCATTAACCTTGGTAAACTTAAGCCAATTCGTCAATAAAACTTTTCACCCTTTCCTACTTGGGTAACCTAGACGTTTGTGTGCATGTGTTCAGACTGTGTGCGCAGAAAACAATAGATTTCAAGCATTGCCTGCCCTGGACTACTATGTCAACAAACTCCAATCCTGACAGACAAGTTAACAGCAGAAGCAGAAAGACTAAAGGATGATTCAAAGAAATCTACGGAATAGTAAAAAGGCTATACAATATCAGAAATGAAATCAATCAGTGGAATACTCGATTAATGGCGACAGTTGTCAACAAGCATTATGAACTCATAATTAAGTCACTTAACAATACCAAAATAAAAGCATTCAAAAAGTCAGCAAATTATTAGAAGAGAAGCCTCTATCTTTGAAAGGTGAGACCAGCAATATAAAGATGTCGACGATCGACCAATAAGAGCGCGTTATCAATCTTTCAACACAGGTGTTTAGATGGACAAAAACGAGTATATCAAAAATACGACTAGATTTCAGTAGAGTAGCAGACAAGCTGAAACCTGAGGATGTCATCCCAATAATATAAATAGCACTAAATGGGATAGATTAAAGAACTGCCTACGAAGTATGAATATAATGTGAGCTGACACTAAGATAACAAAACAGAGGAAATCTTAACTTGACGAAACCATAAAAGAAGCCCTTAATAGCCTTAAGTAGAACAAGGATATAGTAACTACTTAGTTGGCTAAAGGCAATTCAGCAGTTGTATTAGACAAATCAAACTATTTAGCGAAGGTTAATACTCAAATAGAAACAGGGCCTTATGAAGAAATTAGGAAATCAATAGACACTCATGGGTAGAGTTCAGAGATCCACAATGGATCTTATTGGCTAAATGAAGCTGTTATGGTTGAGTCTGAATAGTGTAATTTGACGCCCGAAACTAATAACCTCAGAAGGATGTACAGTGTTGTTAAAATTCATAAGGTAGTATATCCCATAAGACCCAAAGTTGATTTTTAAAAATTCTTCTAAAAAAGATGAGACCGCAATTTACTTCGTTGGTATCCCTTTAGCTGCGTAAAACCTGCAAGGATTACACGATTTTTGTTTAACAGAGCTGTATGGAGCTGAAGAAAAACCAATGAGGTAAATAATGGTCTTAATTTATTCTGCATAAACATTTGCTTCTGTTCCTGTGGAAGTAAATGACTTCATTTACACTGCAAGTTTGGTCTTAGATATAATGGAGAATACAGCTTGAAGAATTTATTGAAAATAATTGTTAGCTCTAATTGTTTCTCTTCTGATTGTTCATCACTGAACTAATTAATTGTCAGCCCTCTTGATTACGTGATATCATTCACCGTTTTTCGCAAATTGTTATAACTCACAAATTTGATTTATTTTGTTACCTAGTGACAGTGATCTTTGACCTCTGTTTTCATTTGGCATTATATATATATATATGAGATTGTGTAAAGACATTTCTTTGCTGACTTATGTGTTCTTAATTACATGACAGGAATTTTTCGTACAGTTCTTAAAAAAATCAGGGATAAAAGTGGCATTCAAAATCACAAACTCACTTAGAAACAAGTTATATCGATTAAAGGATCCTTTTGAACCCCATTAAACAATGGTTGTGAAGTCAAATACATAGGCCCTAATTAGAAAAGAAATCTTAAAAATAGCTCATCTATGGTACTACATCCAACTACATACAACCATACAAAAGGACGGGATAAGATGACTATCTTATCATCTAATATAACAAGATGGAGGGAAGGATTGATAATGAAAGCCGTATACGCTGAGAATGCGTGCAATAGAAATGATTCAACACCTGTCCCAGACATCTGGAAAATTCTACTACCCCTATGCGAATCGGAAGGAAGATGGAGAACTATAAAAATGAAGCTCCAAAGTTGTGTAGTTACAATTAATGTAATTATGAACAAGAGATTGTTTCGAAACACCATCGAGTAAATAATACTGTTTCAATGTGTGTTATTTAAGACAATTAGTGCCTTTTATAAATTTGAATAGTGTTATTAGAAGACGGAGATTATCTAAAAAATGTGATGTATTTGCTCTATACTTGTGAGGGCGCGAGAGCATATCCAGAAATGTTTAGAAAAACAAATTAATTGCGGTAAACCAATAGACGCAGGTGTCAGACTACCAACTTCGTCTATAGCTAAACGTCTAATCGGAATGAACCCTAAAATCGATGTTTACACAGCTTTTAAGGTCATCCATAAAAATGGTCAAGTGCGCTTATTGAAATACGCTGAGGATATAGCTATTCATAAACTTAAGCCACCCTCCTCTCCATGTTTTTAAAAATAGTTTATTAATACTCTTAACCTACCTTGGTAATCATTATTTACCTCATGTTACTTATTCTTATTTTAAAAAATCCTTTTCGTCACTTTGTTCAGTTTAATTGCCCTAAATTTTTCCATATATATATCGACTTGACAAGTAAATGTGTGATCAGATTGTTCAAAATGTGTAGCTCGAATACAACACATTTTTCAGATAATCTCTGTCTTCTTATAACACTATCCAAATGTTTGATATATCAAATAAACAGATTACTATGGATTTATATACATAAATATAATAATTATCAGTTTAAACTTTAAGAAAATTGTTAATCTTGAACATTCTTAATAACGTGTAATTGCGCATTATGAGCAAAAATGCCAGTCCCCTTCTTTGAAACTGAAGGGGTGTATGGGTTCTATTATTACTGTAGGAATATGACTGTCATATCTCCCGGATTTATCTAAGAAATTACGACGGTGTGCATCCCTTTACTTTTCAGTCCCATTATTCTCGCTAATTAAATTTGGGACAAATGCTTCAAAAAGACTTAATTATTTTTACAACAGAAATGTTAGTAAATTCTTAAATGCATTCAAATGACTATGACTATTTCAAAATTAAAACAAGTCAAAAGTCTTCATTTACATCCACTCTAGAACAAATTCCTTTGACAATAACAGAAATTAGTGAATTGAGTTGGCAGGGAATTTCCTGATTCCATATTTGATAAATGTATTTAAAATAACACAGAGTGATGTAGTATTAATAACTGCGTGACGTTTCCTGCACAGTTTACTGTTTATATTCATTTCAGTGTATTCACACAGTATCATAACTTGATTTGTAAACATTTTCTCCCCTCTTTCTATCTTTTGCAATTATCAATATGTCCCCTGTAACCTCGCCTAGTTTACCAGCTCGCTAGTTTTCTAGCCACTCCAAAACCCAAGGAAATAGGGAAAGCTGGGTGTAGGACCAGTGCCTCCACTCTAGGGAACCAGTCAAACTGCTACAGAAACTTCAAAGCACAAGGGAAATACAAAAACAAAACTTATTCTCCGCTGAAACCCGCGAGACGAGATGACAAGGGATAGTGAAAGACTTCGGGAATCCAGTTAGCCGATGTGTCTTCCAATGCTACGCACAGTGCTACAAACAACGTGGAACAAGAGAAGAGGGAAGATTTGTATAGACAACTGCAAACAGTAATGGACAACATCTCGAAAGGCTACATAGAAATCCTTATGGGTGATATGAATGCCAACCGAATTGGGAGCGGAAAATACAGGAACAGAACTCATCATGGATCGACAGACTATGGACGAAATGAATGAGGAGGGAGAACTCCTCGCAGACTTCTGCGCTCCCAATGGTCTGGTGATCGAAGGCAGAGTGTACAAGCAAAAGATACACGCAAGGCAACTTGGATTTCACCAGAATGACATACTGAAATTCAAACAGACTTCATCTTAATTTCAAGAGAGTGAAGACGCAGTCTTCTGTTCACAAAATCGAAAAAAGGAGCAAATGTGGGCTTAGACCACTATCTAGTTCAAGGAACCCTCAAATTCAAGCTGAAAGCACCGTACCATCAATTCTAAAACAAAGAAAATTATAAAAGTCTAGAAACCATAACCTACTTAACAGCAAAAAGCAAGGCACGGAAGCCAAGGTATATTTTCCATTGACCAAACCGCTGTTCATGTATATGCAGTTTATATTTTTTAACCAATCACTGAGCGTGCGATTTCGGTTTAAATTAAACGCCATGAAATAGAATGTTCAAATTAATATATTATCCTGTTGCTAATGCAATACTGAACTATGGGAATATATGAAAATTATATTCAGTTGAAACACACCGTCTGTGTCGCACCACCATACGTACACCTATCATAAGCGCAAATTTCTACCAAATTACTGGCAGAGAAGGTATCCAATCATAACAGCGACGGCTTATTTGCTTCTGGTTTAGTCAAGGAGGGAACTTCTTTTTGCGTAACACTGTGTAGTTGCTGGGCCTTTAAAGCCATCATAAAAAAGTAGGTGACTTAGCAACTCAGCATGTTACAATCCCATTAACCGGTTTAAAGGAGTAATGACTTTTGTAAACCTAGTTTTACCATGAAAGTGTGAGCAGGTTTTCGCAAATGGTGGTATAGCTCCGACCATGTGCATGGTCCGGAGTTCGATCCCCGCCCAACGCACTCCTTTACCTCGCTAAGCCAGAAATAATGCTGGTGAAGAGGAAAGGTTGGGCATGAGGCCAGCAACCCCATAGTGTAAAATAAACACTGCTACTGAAACTTCAAAACACTAGCTTAAGCCCTGTGTTCCACTGGGGAACGTGAAGGAAAAAACTCAGAGTTATACTTCACCTGAATTGCAGAGATTTCATCAAGAGGGGAATTGTTCTTAGCAGTAATACATAGTATTTCAATTAGAAATTCAGAAGACGTCAGAATCGGTTTTTAAGATAGCCTTTAAGTCACTTCAATAATTAAAATGATCATCTTCATATGTTTCCCTTGTAGAGGGAAATGCCTGGATTTCCAAGTATGATCAATCAGTGAGAACTAATTATAATCAAAACAACATACATCAATTACAGCAGAGAACACTGTCTTACTTGCACAAGAAATTCAATTCAAATGACAAAAATAACCACTCAAGAGAAGGAATTAAATACTTATGTTTCACTTATCTTGTACAAAAAGGTATCAGAAGTGAGATAAATGTAAGTCGGAGGACATCTCATAAATAAAACTCAATGAAGGTCAAAAAAGAACACAAATAGAAGAGACAGGTATACTAGCTCGACAGTTAACATAGTATACGAGCCCATTTACATAAATAGAATAAATTAATGTGTTTTAAATAGATATTTTTCATAAAACCATTAAAGTCATGATAAAAAGTTTGTTTACCTAAAACTGCATCATCAACTTGTTTTCCAAGTGTTTCAGCTAATTCCTGTGCGAAATTCTCCATCTCCTTTCTGTCTTTTGGAAAAGACTTTTGTTCGACATGCTGACTTATTGGCTTTATGAAAACTTCTTCCATGGAGTAAACTGGTTCTTCATTTTCCGGCACTGCCACTTGACTCGGCTTTGTTAACGTTTCCATGCGTATACCAACTGATTCTAACTGAGCTAACAAAGCCTCTTGCCAATTAACAAGTGTTTTTGTACGCGAGACATCTATATTGTCCTCCGGTGTTCTTTCTTCTAGTTCTCGTTTCAGTTCAGGTAAGATCCCAGCTTCAATGGTTCCAGCCTGGCGAACCACTGACGTCGAAGGGATTGGAAGCTTTTTCGTATTGACAGGGAGTTTTTCTTGGTCTGTTAGATCAGCCTGGCATAGAGGCTGAGAAAAAGTTGCTGTTTGACAAAGTGGAAAACGGAAAAATGGAAAAGGATTTAGCGTTTCTTTTACACGGCTTGTTTAGTTGCATTCTCTATGAAAGTCACTCTTTTTAGTAGACACAGTACGTGGAACCAGTGAAGTATCTGATCTCGTCTTTTTAACTGCATATAACTAAAAGGTTGTTTTACACTACTTTACTGATCTATTGTATAATTGTACAGTCTTTTGTGGTACAACTACTGTCATTCTACCAATTTTGAAACTACGAATAATGGTTCCGGATTTCAGTAGAAACTCACTGGGATAAAGGTATATCTTCTTACTAAAATAAACTTAAACATGTGTCCTAGAATATATTTCTAGTGCCAGATTGAGACATTCAGTCTGTATTGTGTGAAATAAAATAACAAAGCCCATTAATGTTTGAATTAATTGTTTCATCATTGTTAGGACAAGAGACACACCAGAGTTTACATCATTTCACGTGTTCATCATTGTGGTAAGCATAAAACGTCTGATATGCATCGATGAGGAGTAAGTGAAAATTAAAACTGAAATAATTTTCAGAGATGTGTTAACTCCAGAATTTTCATGAGGAAGCTCAGACTTCACCGTCAGAAGAAGTATTACCGAAATTTGATATTTGTACAAGCTTAATTTATATCCATGTAATTTAACAGTTTATATGACATACATGAAGACTTGAATAGTTACTTAAGAGTGATAAATGTAGGTTGCATGGTCACTTTGAGAAAATTATACATATTTTACTACCCATCACATTTATATTTCGTAAGCAGGCATGCAGTGGACAATATATTCTTTTCACCAATTTTGTCCCTATCCAGTATAAACGTCCCCTAATGAAATGTTTCTTTTTCAGTGACCCAAAAAGTATCCACGAGCGACACGTTGATAGATGAGCTTTGACACGTACATTCAGTTTCATTAGCTAATGGTTAGCCAGGAAACTTTATCAGTTGTCATAGTAAGGATAGACCATATTTTGAAAAGACAGCCTCTGTACCAAACAAAGCTATTTTTATTAACCTACCATCCAAAGATGATCAAATTATGCAGTTGACAGCTCAAAAACCTCGACCAACCATCAAGCCCGAATTCTACGTCGTGTCTCTTCCCCTCACATCTCGAAAATTTTCGATCACTGTACCTACGATTCAAGGACAAAATTCTCTGGACCCTACTTCAAACTGATTTACAAGTTCACCTGCAGTTGCGGTGACACCTACATAGGTAGAACCAATAGAATGTTCCAATGTCTTCGAAAAAAACATGCTCAAAAATGGTTATTAAAACACAGAAAATTCCAATGCAGTTAATCTGAATAAAAATCCGTCATCATCCATTGTAAAGCACTCATTAATGTCAGGTCACAAAATCAACATTAATGACTGCTTCACAATGATTTCACATAACTCTAATTCAAAGTTGGTCATTAAAGGTGGTGGAAGCATTTTGGATTAGTCTTATATAACCTAAACTATGTGTACAAAAAGCAATAGACTCCAATCTTCGCCTACAATGGACTACTTGATCTATTTAAATATGATTGGTCATTAAAATGTACATTTGTTTTATATAACTGAGTAATTGTCATGCATTTTATTTTATTTTTGTGAAGCATGTTAGTTGTAAAGCGATTGTAAAGAAACTACGAGATGATATTATCTCGTGAAATTTGTCTTCTAAATATCTTATTCAAATTTATCAAAGAAACTAATCGTTTTAATCATATGGTTTCATTCTGAGTCAAAATTTGGGCGATTTGACAATTTATTGTTTATATTGGATATCATTTTTCCCATGGGATTAGTATCTTTTATGATAAACAGCATGACTTTTTTAACAGGACATTGAGTATATTGAGAATGTGTTTAAAAAATAAGCTCCTTTAGAAGATACGATGATACTGTCCTGGCTACATGTTATAGCTGTGGTTCTACTACTTCTTTTAACGATATCAGTGAATAAATATTAGCTTGAGATAGGAAAATTTATGTTAATACCTATGTAGTATGTAATTCCTTACTAATCCGTTTATTAGATGAATCACAGTATTATTTACCGGGTGATAACTAATATGTTCATGAACAATTAGTTGTGTGTTTAACGTTATCCAGTAAATAATATTGTTTGACTGTGATATATCAAATAAACAAATTAATATAGAAGAAAAATGTAGGATTTAAATGATCTATCGACTGACAGAATAACATTTATATTGTCACATTTTCTGCTTCAATTCGTGCAACAGGGCTTTAGCAGAGAATTTACTTAAGAGACTAGAAGGTATACACGGATAATATTGTAAAAGAAGAGATAAGAATGTTGGCCCAAGCACTGATTGGAAATGACTGTTCCTTACAATTTAACAGGCTTAATAAAACAGGTAGAACATTGAGGATTACTGTTTTATTGTTCTTTTTTTGATTCCACTGCTAGTCACCATCAAACAATTAAATTGTGTTATTGTCCAGTTGAAAAAGCATTTATCAAATTTCAGTACATGAATGACTTTCATGGTTTGTTTTTTAAACAAAGTCATAGTGAAGACTTGGGAAAAAAATGCTTATCGGAATAACGAAAATACTAAGCACGTATACTAATTGAAATACTTGTAACATGTAAATAGTGATGGATTTATGCTCAACTGTATCCATTAAAATGGAATGAATTTATCTACCCCTCCAATAAAAGATCATGTGTAGATAAAGACAGTGAAAGACTACAAGTTCCTCATTCACAAAACATTTTGATTTCCACATATTCTTTGAACTAATTTACATCATCTCAAGGAATACAAAGTCTTAACCATTCAGTGTGTTAGTCAACTTTATGTATTTAGGATTAGTCCTTCAACAAATTCATTTGGATTGTTTAGCATAGGTCCATATATTGGTTTAAATTATCCTCCACGTTTCACCTTAGCTTTAATTTCCCTTTCATAAAAGTTTTCGTATTCTCCATGATTGAAAACAATACTGTTTAACCGACGTTTTCCCATTTAATGCTAATAGTTTTACCAAAGTACTGTTAAACCAGAATACACAAAATCTCAGCTTGCTTATATACAACAACTTAATTATGTTTCTTCAGAATGATGTCGATTCGTTTTGAATGCGACTATCGTATGAGAAAAAAAGAATCACATATTTTTAATTGATTCGTAGAGTTTTCATCTCTACTTTCTATTAAATTGATTAGAGACTGACTGCTATTGTGGGCTCAATTTTGATACATCCGCAAGTGACAATAAATACTATGTAACCAGGCTACCCAAGCATGCTAAAATGTTTCATCACTCAAATAAATTTAGCATCACTTTTTTGAATCCTGCTGCACCCCTACAATGTCATTCATTCATTTATTTTGAAAATATTTATCAAAGTGACTTCTGAATGACTAATCCATCCACACTATGATTTGACCCATTCACCAACACTATAAGTAATTAATTACTAAGCGTTTTAGTTACTTATTTTACCTTCTGGTTTTCGAATGCCATCTGTAGTACCAGAAACCGAGATTGTTGAAACACCCTCATCGGATGAAAGAAATGCATTCTCAGACCAAGAAAAAACAGGCTCTGTTTCTTGTTCTCTAATATCTTTGACTTCCTGGTTTTTCATATCTGATTAAAGAAAAAAGTTTTAGAAAATTACAGATTGAACAACAGATTAAGTAACCAATAGATTTAGAAGTTTATGTACATTTAAGTGAGGTATATGGAATATTTATGGCGTTTAATGACATTTTCATGTATCCAGCGTGAATGATTGACACTATAAACTATGTAGCTTAGTTATCTAGAAGACAGGCAAGTTATTCTCCAACATTCTGGAGATAACGTAATTACTGGAGGATTAGACCAAAAATCATCTGAATAAACATTTTAAATACATCACAGATAAATTAGGCATCTGAATGTGATTTAATTAAATCACTTGTAACTTGTCTCAACATCTTAAGCGTGAAAGGCTTCTACCCTCTGTGAAAACAATCTTATAAAAACTACAGCGAATAGGTTTCATCTTAACTCAGCTATTTTACCATAATTTACTGGCATTTTCACATGCAATGACTGTAACGTAAATTACGTAAGTCACAATAGTAGATCAAAGTCAATTAAAATATTGAAACTGAAATTTAGATAGATCTGGAATGACTGACCTTCCTAAGTTTAAAAATTTAGGAGAAAACTCAATCATTACAATACATTGAATTGCATGTAATCACACAATACAGTAAAAATTTTGAAAAGTAATATGGTTCACCGAATCAATGTCAAACCTACGCAATCAGAATGACACAACGCCTTTACTGGATCAATCAAAAATTGCCACAAAAAGCAGCAGGAGGTGGAACTGCATAGAGGAGATTTTAAAGTTGTTTAAATACCTTGATATCATTATGAGTTATAAGTTGCGCTGGACACATCATCCAAAGAATAATACTGCATCACTGTGTATTAAATAAAATAAACTTATCTAATATAAAACGTATAGTCGTATGTTTGCAACTAAACGTGTAAGACACTTTGATATCTACTTATAATTAAAGTGCTCCTAAATATAATGCTCAAATAACAAGCATAGATGCGAAGTTAATTTGGAAATTACTGCAGCAAAACAAACTACTACATATCAGGAATGTTTAATTGAGTCAATGTGAAGTTTTTAATTCGAAACCAGATTAAGGAAGCTAAAGACAACTCATTTTTTCACAAGATATTGAAAGTGGTAATTGATATCATTTAAAAGTGAATACTGACAAATCACTGTTAATAGTGATTATAATCTCAAACACGTTAACTGCATTTCGAAATATTATTATTTTATGTATTAAAACATTTGTTTAAGTTTTCCCAAGGGATATAGTTTCTTAAAAGCCATATATATATATATTTAAACAGCTTATACAGCTTGATAACAAAGTCGTTGAAAAGAGTTTGTTCTCTGAATATTGTGTTCTCAGTGCTTAATATGGGACCTTATTTGTGGAGAACTAGCCAACTCAGGCAACGCTTTCATTCGTACTTTAGTAAAAAGGTTTGTTTTTATGTCTTATGAACTGTCATCAGTTCACTAAAGCTTGTACTTTCTGGGTTATTCTGTAAGAAGGACTGCAGCAGCTGACAGAAAACTAATCATTATGAGGAGAAAAATAACTGCAGCTAACATTTAGGCTCAAAGCCCATCATTAGCAGATCAAATCTCAGTGCTGAACTAACCTGCTGGAAAATCTGGTGTTTCATATCTTGCATGAGTAGGTATCTTGTCTGGTTTGGCATGTGATGAAGTTTCTTCAACAACTACAGGCAAAGTGGTTCGTTTCTCCAGGATCTCGTTTGCTGTGACTATCTCTTCCTCTACTGCTACTGTACGTATTTCAGTCATACTTGGATGAATAGTATCAGATCGGTTAATTTTAATAAGCGCGTCAGCTAAGTGATTGCCTAATAATATTAATAATAATAGGAGTGAGTAGTAAAATGCAATTACCGAATAAGGTTATATATATCACTACTACTTTACATAGTTTAGAATACTGAAAACATTTCTGATTGTGGTTACTGATTATCCACAAACACTTATAAAAGAAGATTCCGTTTTACTCTTGTATCCATCCGTCTTATAGTCAGCTGTTTAGCAAAGATTGACAAAATCGCAGCTTAATCCAATTGTATACTTGTGAGCATTGAAGGCGGAAAAACGAAATTCGTACCAACTCTCAACTCTCTGGTCACCATTGTCTGTCAGTCATTTTCCCATTAGTTATATTTTCAGTACATGATTTTAATAGGCAGAGACTTTTTCTTCAAACTCTTGTTGTAATCGTTTGTTATAATAAAGGTTCACATTTATTCACAATACTATACCTGTCACTTGAACAGAGAATAATATAGAACGTATTATATAGAATTTACGTAACAGAAAAGTGATCATTTTCAGAATGAAAGTGCTCTGAATTAAAAAGATAAACGATGGAACAGAAAGATATTCGTGGAAATATGGACAGTCAGCTTCTTTTGCAATTTCAAATTGCCTTCAGTTGTTAGATATTAGGAGACACTGCTCATGTGAATCACAGGTATATGCTTCATTTCTCAGTATATGATGTGCTGCAAATATTTTTGTATAAAATGTATGAAAGGAGGAAGTCAGAGTGAAAAATAATCTTTGACTATAAACGAGATCAGCATATTTTAGAACACCATGCACTGATATAGATTTTCCCTCAAAGTATTTACACAGCATCACATAAATGTCACTACTGTTAATGCTCCCTCGTTTTCAATGGTTCTGTGGCTGATGTTGGCTAATGATGAAGTCTACCTTGAAATCACTTATATCCCTACAAACCCATACTTGAAAATATATTCCTGATTAACTTTTGGAAAGCGTTATATCAGTGGGAAACTTTGTGGAAAATAAACGGTATAAACTATCAAGAGAACTATTAGAAGCAATATTATAAATTTTGGGAAATTGTGATGTTTAATGTTTTGCTAGAGCTGAATTTTCGTACTTTTCATACTTTTCACAATGCATTTTATGCACTGGTGCGATTTACTCAGATAATTAATTTATAGTGACCATAACGTACTTTCCTCCATATGAAGGTGAAGTAAATACTGATCAAAGTCATTAGTTAAGGGTAGCGCTATATCACGAAGTGACAAATTTAGAATTCATAGGTCGCTGAAATGTGGATCAAGCGGCTGAATGGTCAACGAGATTGGTCTCCTAATCTGACTATCCCGGGTCCGAACCCTCATGTGGTCGTAGTTTGTGCATTGCTAAAAAGTCCAAAACTAGGTTAGACAACTGCTCAATTCTCTCTAGTTTTCAGTGATCTGATGTTGGTTCGTGGCGAAACCTACATTGAAGGTAATTCAAGTTTCGACACAAAACTGATTATCCAAATGAATTTGACATCGCAGAGAGCTCAGTTCTTTGATCCAATCTCATTTAATAAATGCTTCGTTACTTCCATATATTTATATATCAGCTTACCGCATAGGTACTCAGTAAACTAATCATAAGATTACAATTACATATTCACATGTAAAACATCCGAAAACGTTTTTCGCACGGTAATTTAAATAAAGGGGTAGGAAAAATGTGAAATATAATCCATCTGCCCTCTGAGGTAAATGAATGAAAAGTGCGTCTGTTGGGAAAGTTAAATCTAGACAGTTGGTGTCTGTCAAATGAGTTGGACAATAAATAATAATAGATCATAATAGGTAAGTAAAATGATAATAATCCAGTAAAATACAAAGAGTTTTCTTTCAACAGTTTCCTGTTCAGATTTTACAGTTATATATTCACACTAGATAAATAATCATAAAATAAGTGTGTAATTGTAAAGATTCCTTAAGAAACACCACTCTTAATGACTCACCTAATGCATCTTTGTCTGTTAAACCTGATGCTGCTGCTCTGTGTTTCCATAGGGCAAGCAAATTTTCAGCTCGTTGGTTCTCAATATCAAATTCATTGGTGGCTGAATCAAGATCTGGCGAAATCCTATCTATCATTTTGACATCTTGTTCAGAAAAGCCAAGAACTGGTGCCAGTCGTCTCCAGTCTTTACCAATTCCAAGGGCCAACTTTTGGTGGTCCAATTCAGAACGTCCAATTACGTCGAGCTCTTTAGAAAAATAATTTAAAACAGTAGAAAAATCAGATATCACAGCTTCCAAAAGATTTTATATTATGCAGTTAGCTCAGCTGTATAACCATACTAGTTTCCTCTCTTCCGTGCTGAAACGCTTAGTAATAGTTACATGTTGTGAAACTTGGTAATTTACACTTTCTTTTGAACATCTTTGGTTTGTAAATGATGCTATTATTGGGTTGATAAAACTAACTGTATTCTTCTAATGGAGGTGGAATTGTATAGACAACTGAAATGAAGATGTCACTACGAATAATATAGGGGACACAGGAAATTTAATTCTGAATGTTATCACCTTTCAACTTTTTTATATGGCTGCTAAGACAAATGTTCTGAATGCATTACTGTGAGATATTAATTTTTTGGACGAATGAAACACTTTTCAGGGCAGTACACATGTCATTCAGTAGTGACTTACAGAAAAATTCATTTTAAAATCGTATGATACTTTTACAGAATATTTATCGATGCAAAATTTTTCTAGAATCATCTACGCTTTAGTGGAAATGATCAAGAGGAATTTTTAGAAATATTTGTGTTGTTCGCTAGTGGTCATTCAATACGGCCACATAAATAAATTTTATTATACGGAAAATGATGTCATTTAGTGAATTTCACATTTTAGAAATAAATACAACACTTGGAAGCTTGAATATGTCATATAGCGGAGGAGAATATGCATATATATATATATATATATATACAGAGAGAGAGTACTATAAGACTTCTAGTGCTTAGAATATTCGTTCACTTAGTTGGTTTACACTCATTTAAAGCTCAAATCGACTACATGCTTAGTTGGTGACAGCATGTGTTGACGTGCCGAAGAATATACGCCTCACTTGGTCAGCTTCATCACGTAGCTGATACAAGATAACACGTTGATACACTAGGCTGGTACTAACTTATTACTACTTCACTTAACTTGTCTGGAATTTCATTTCACTTTTTATGGTGTTGACATTCACCTACTTCCGTTTTAACTAAAATTTTATTCATACCTTTATTATCATTCACATAACCGCCTGAAATCATCTATAAATTTGAAAATGTTTCTCTTTATACGATACAAGGATGTCTCTACTTTGATGATAATTTGATCAGTCTAATTTCCTCTTTAATGTGGAAATCTTATTTGTCTTTAATGTTTTATTCCACTCTTCCAAAATGAACTATCTGTTTATTAAAATATGTATGAAAGTAGGATATCGCAGTGATTATTAATGTATCTTATTTTTCCGGGTGTACGCTAAATTTACTTTATCCTTCAAAAGCTATTGTCATCGTTAGGTTATTCAATTTTATCGAGGAAACTAATTGCATGCTTTTCACATATACATATTTTCGTATATAGATTTTCTTATAGTTTTTTAGACAGATATCCCACTGCTTACAGTTGAACAGGTTGATCACTGCTCTCAAATGTGAGGTAGTGCTCATTCAATAAATACAACAAACATATATGGTGAATTCAAAGAAAGCCATTAAGCTATTGTCTGAGAGACGTATACCAGCATAAAGGATGCCACTTGAAGCTTTCAAACCTACGAGACAGCCAGGTGAATTACCTATTAATCTTGGTAACAGAATTCAGGATTGTGTTTATGTCAAATTACCAGAATGAGAAGTGCAGTGCAAATCTACATCACCGAAAAGATTACAATACCTGTCATTGCGTTCATCAGCTTTAACATGTATTTCTGTCTACCTGCATAAACACACACGAAGTTGTGACATAGAGGGGTTGACTAACTGAGTTTAGTTGGAATTCCAAGAACTGAGTAAATGTTTGGATTTATTGCACAAACGATAATATACTAATTTTAAAATCCAGGTATGGTAACTGTCTATCAGAGTTTGTTTACCATCGATTTTGGGGACAGAAAATTGCCATTTAGCTGGTAATAATAAAGTTTAATTCGTAGTCTGGATTCCACTTGTAAGATTAGCAACACTAGTATGTCAAAATTAAAGCAAATATTGTCAGAAATATCAGTGCACATACATTTTTAGGATTAAAAGTATGTTTAAGAGAAAAAAACTATAACCCATTGTCGTAACATAGATTTATTGACCTGTTACTTCGAAGCCAAAGTGATATCCACTCTACTGAATTTCTAATATAATTTCCTGTTTCCTACACATGTTTAACTGAAGGATACGTAGGCAATTATTTCACTTTTTAGACTGATCAGTTAGTTTTGAGTTTAAGAAATATTTCATAATAATAATATTTCTTGTGAGATGTAAAGAGTTAATCTCCTTCTCTGGAATGTTTTCCTTTCCATTCAACAGAATTTAGTAGGAATGGATTTATATTTCCGTAGAAATAAGAAAACGAAATCTGATGAAATACCAACGACTAGATAGTGATCACAAATTTACAAATCATACTTTTTATATTTTAATACTCACCTTTAGTTGATAATACTAATGTTTGGTCTGGACTAGGTAATTTAAACTCCAGTACAGTAATTGGACGTTGTGGCTGTGTGTTTGTCATATCTTTTGTGGTTTGAACATTACGTGCTTCACGCATAAATGCAATTTTCCCAGTGACCATGTTTATATCCGGTTCCAGATCTGGTACATCTCGCAGACGAACAGGAAAAGTAATGCGATTTTCATAAAACGGTCGAATGGTAAAGTTCAGCTGTTCACCAGATTTTAATACTGGTACTAAATTTCCAACCATTTCAATCCAGACCGGTTTGTTTTGTTGTATCTAATGAATTGCAATAAGCACCAAAATGGTAGGTTCAGAAAAAACTTTACCACCTAAGGATGAAATGAACTATTAAATAGTATAAATTATCTTATTCTCATAAACATGAATGGAAGAAGAAGAATAGGTAGAAAATAATTTGAAAGCATCTATTTTTCTCCATTGACTCTAAACCACTGGTTAGTTTTCAGAACCTAAACCACTTCTGTTGATCCATATGTGTAATCACCAATTCAGTGATACAACTTTAACACAACATTTTTACCTGTATAAAACAAAAAATATACAACGAAGACTCATAAAGTTATCATGGATGTATTGGTTTGTAACGGAAATTACGTAGGATGATCAAAGTTACTGCAGGTGGATGAAACTATGAAGTCTGTTCAAAGACTGACTATTCAGAAGAATGATTCAATGAATATGTGAAGGTAAGGGTAACATAAGTTTATCAGAGGTTGAAGAAAGAAAGAATCCTATAAGCATATTCGAATAAAATCGTAAAGAAAGCGAGACTCAGTTACCAGGACTGATGATGAGTATTACAGGGAATTTCAAGTGATTTATTGACGTTATTTCATTCAGGAGACTGCAATCTAATCCTTTTTTAAATATATAGCTATCAGTCTCACACTGACACAGATTTAGCCCAACAGTTTACGACATTTCCAAAAGTCATCGAATTATTAGTAGACTAGTATTTAGACATATTTATTCATATGTATTTGTAAATAGCCTAGCAACATATTGTGCCCATAGTCTAAGCGTACAATCGTATTTATGTATGAACTACAATACATAATAACAAGTCCTTTCATGATGCTAAAGTTTGAAAGTGAGTGCACATACTAAAGTGACATAAATGCTGGTGCAGACGATTATGAACCACAAGTTGATTCGACGTATAAATGAATAAATAAATAAATGTCAACAACATATATATGTAAAATAGATGATAGAATGATTAAGTACATTCGGAAATGTGAATATGTGACTTTGTTATACTCAAATAAAATAAAGTGCGAAAATCAGATGAGTGAAGTGTCACCAATAAAATAAGATAAATAAAATGTTAGAATAATGTCATAAGGTGAAGTGACATTAAACAAAACCGAACTAGAACATGGAATCAGAGAAGGACAAGGAAGTCTATGTGAATCACATGATAAAATCAAGACTATGAGGTGACGAAAGAGACCACACAAATTATTTTTCGTACGTAAAGTTTCGACTTTACGTTATGTATTGCCAAAGCTTCCACTACACAAAGCAAGTGCATTCGTGTCCCTGTCAGAAAACTTTGTAGGACTTTGTAGACCGTTGAAGGATGCACCAGATGCTGCGTGATCATTATCTGCTGTACGTTGCAGTATAGATGAATTAATGGCTTTACGCTCTTCTTTGTTCAGCCAGGCTGAGAGTTGTTCTCGAAAGTGAAGGGATATATATATATAACACTGAAACGGCTTCAATACAGTATTCCTTCTAACATTAAAAGTATTGGGAAATTTAAAAGAAGAGTTAGGGAAATTACTTTTGAAGAAATTTATGGTAAGTCTTGGTGTGATTTTTCTGTTTACTAGTATTCTTATGTGATTCACCTGATATCATGAAATACGAACATGAAAACAATCAGGAAATATAAACTAAATGTTCATTATCCATAGAAGACATTACCAAATGTCTAGAACTTCATTTAGAATCTGCATATTTTACTTTTAAAGACACACTATACTGTCACACAGATGGAGTTGCAATGGGATCACCAGCACCACTAATTGTTACAAATCTTCACATGAAAGCTTTAGGAAGAAAAAAAGCTGGTTAGTTTCATCTGTCAACCTAGAGTATGGTGCAAATATGCAGACAATACATTTATCATTATTAAGAGCTCTGAAAGAGAAAACTTTCTAAAACGGATAAATTGCATTTCAAATTATATGAAGTTTACAAATGAAAAAAGAATCGTATGAGGGTATTCTAAACTTTCTGGATGGTCTTGTCAAAGTACAAAATGTTGGAGATGTATAGGAAACAGACTCTTTCAAACAAATATATGAATTTCCATTTTGACCATCCAGTAAGCGTTAAAATTCTCCGAAGCATTGAGTCTAATAAATAGATCTAGAAACACTAACCAATAACAATGATATGGAGAATGAGATCCTCAATTTGAGAGAAATTCTGATTGAAAATAGTTACCCTCAAAACATTTTAAACATTCTTTTCAACAGAAAGGGCAACAAGGAGAAAAAGACATGGCTAAACAACTTCAGAGGATGCTTGCTTCACATGGTGTTAAAGTCTATTGCAAGTCCTGTACTTTTTTGAGGAAGATTTAGTTAGTGTCAGAGATATATTTCCTAGAATGACACAAAAATAATTGTGTCAATTAGATAAAATGTCCAGAATGTGAGGCTTGCTATATTGGGGAAAGCAGCAAACAGGTTAAAGTTAGAGTGAATGAACATAGTCTGTGCACCCAATGTCCGTATAGAAGTGGGACTAAAGAGTCTGAAAAATAGGTAAGCCGCATAATGTACAAAGTGGACACAAGATGGACTTGGACAATGTTAAAATACTAGGAAAAACCTTTCATTCACTTCAGCAAGATCGGTTTCTTAGGCCTCGCATATTTTAACCATATCGATTGCAATAAATAGAAGCAAAGGAATAGACTTATCACCTATACAGATAGAAAAATTATTCAGTCCTATGTGGTGACCTCCGGAAAACATTATCATAATCTTCATACAAGAATTCACTTTTTTTCCAGGCAACAAACATCGTACACACGCTTTCAAACAAATATGCACATCTGACAGTTTAACATTAATCGTTACAAATATGTGATGACTATTATCACTTCTTCTATTGGTACAAATATCTACTGAGAATGGACCTTCAAAGAAGTTCACCTTAGCTCAAGTAATTTTCGACTATATAAACTGATTCGGAGATCACCGTATTCCAGAAAATTTGTAGCGCCTATGATATGGAAATTTATATTATTATTATTTCCTTTAGTTTCTAGAGGAACATAGGGCTTCAGCCATGCGTCTCCATTGCGTTCGGTTCTCTGCTAGAGTTTTCACCTGGCTCCAAGTCTGCCCACACGTTTTCATCTCCTCTTCACATGATCTCCTCCAGGTCACCCTTGGACGACCAACTCGTCGCTTCCCTTTCGGGTTCCACTCGAGGGCTTGTCTAGTGATGTCACTTGCTGGTTTCCTCAGAGTATGGCCAATCCATCTCCATTTCTTCCTGCCTATTTGTTTTACAATCGGTTCCTGGTTGGTTCGCTCCCAGAGATCTTTGTTGCTGATCCTTTCCGGCCATCTGATCTTGAGTATTGAGCGAAGATATCTGTTAATGAAGGTATGTAGCTTGTTTGAGGTGCTCTTTGTGACACGCCAAGTCTCTGATCCGTATAGTAGTACTGACTTCACATTGGAGTTGAAAATCCCGATCTTATTTTTGACGCTGAATGCTGTTGACCTCCACACAGACTTGAGAGTAATGAATACTTGCCTTGCTTTCCCGATCCTTGCTTTGATATCCTCGTCAGTTCCGCCTGTAATTGAAACAATGCTTCCCAAGTAGGTAAAGGAGGTAGTTTCTTTCAGGTTCCTTCCATTTATGCTGATTACTGTCTGTTGTTGTTGCTGTGTCTGTTGGTGTTGGCCAGGAATCTTCATCACCTCCATTTTCTCTATGTTCACCTGGAGTCCTATCTTTGATGCTTCTTCTGCCAACTTGTTACTTTTCGCTTGCATATCTTCCATTTTGTGGGAAATCAGACATATATCATTGGCGAAGTCCAGATCCTCCAAGTTCTTTGTGTGAGTCCATTTTATGCCTGTTCCCTCATTGCCCGCTGTCTGTCGCATTATCCAATCTACTGCAATCAGGAAAATCATTGGCGATAGTAGGCAACCCTGTCTTACTCCTGTCTTCACTTCGAAGGATTCCGTGAGCTTCCCGTTGTGGATTACTTGGCATGCAGCGTTGTCATACAACTGTTGGATGAGATGTATAATTGTCGGCGGCACCCCGTAGTAGCGAAGTAGTTGCCAAATCACCTCTCGATCGACGCTATCAAAGGCCTTTTCAAAGTCGATGAAGTTGAGATAAAGAGGTGACTGCCATTCCAAACTTTGTTCAATGATGATCCGTAGTGTGGCGATTTGATCAATACATGACTTGTTTCTCCTGAATCCAGCTTGTTCCGGTCGAAGTTTTTCATCCAGGGCATGTTTGATTCTCTCCAGTATGATGCGGTTTAGTATTTTGCTTGGGATGGACAGGAGCATAATTCCGCGCCAGTTCTTGCATTGACTTAAGTCTCCTTTCTTTGGTAGTTTGAATAAGTATCCTTTCTTCCAATCCTCGGGTACTTTGCCTTCTTTCCACACCTTCTCCAGTAGTGGCGTCATCAAGTCCGCTGTTGTCTCTGGGTCCACTTTCAATGCCTCTGCTGGGATTCCATCTGGTCCTGCTGCTTTTCCAGCTTTCAGCATCTTGATTGCCTTCAGGACTTCTGTTCTCCTCGGGGGGTTGATGTTCACTGGTAATTCTGCTTCCGTTGTTGGTATTGTTGGGCGCGTTGTAGGTGGCGGTCGTTTTAGTAGTCTTTTGAAGTGTTAAGCCCAGTGTTTCCTTTGCTCCACTTCTTTGGTGATTGACTTTCCGTTGTCATCCTTCACTGGCTTAATTTGTGACGAATTTTTACCTGAGAGGTACCTAGTTGTTTGGTAGAGTGTTGCGAGGTCTCCTTTGCCTGCTGCTTGTTCTGCTTCATTGGCCATGGCTTCATAATACTTTCTTTTGTCTTCTCTGGCACTCTTCTTTACTCCTTTGTTCAGTGTATTGTAGCTTGCATTCAACTCCTGTTTCTGTTGCTCGTCGGTGCACTGGATAATCTTTTGTTTCACCATCCTTCTCTCTTCTATTAGCCTCCAAGTGTCCGTAGTGAGCCACGGTTTGTCCTGTCTCTTCTTTCTGCCCAGAACTTCCATGCAGGTTTCGCTCCATACCGTTTTCAGGTTGTCCCAGTGTTTTTCGACGCTGACCTCTTCGCTAGTGTTGATTTGTGTCTCAGCTTTGTCCTTTATGCTTGCAGTAAAGATATCCTTTGTATCCTGGTCCTTTAGTTTTTGAGTGTTGAACTTGGCTTGTGGTCTATCTGCAGCTCCTGTTTCTCTGAAAGCTTTTAATTTGAGTTGGATTGTTCCTTGTACGAGGTAGTGGTCTGAGCCAACGTCTGCTCCTCTTCTTGCTTTTGTGTCCAGTAGGCTGCGCCGCCACTTCCTCGAGATTGTGATGAAGTCAATTTGGTTTTTGGTTCGCCCATCTGGTGACACCCATGTAGCCTTGTGAATATCTTTGTGTTTGTATACGCTGCCACCAATCACTAGTTCATTGAAGGCGCAGAAGTCGGCGAAGAGTTCTGCATTTTCATTCATCTCTCCCAGAGCTTCTTTACCCATGATGAGTTCCCTTCCTGTGTTGTCTGGTCGAAGTTTGGCGTTCATGTCTCCCATTAGTATTTTAATGTCACCAGCTGGAGTATTGTCTATTGCTGTCTGTAGTTGTCTGTAGAATTCTTCTTTCTTTTCGAGGTCTGTGTTGTTTGTGGGTGCATAGCACTGTATAATTGACACTTTTCTCCATTTGGAGTTGAATCTGGCGGTCATTATTCTGGTTGAGATCGCCTCCCATTGTATCAGAGCCTTGGTTGCCGTTGGTGGCATCATGATAGCCACGCCCTCGGTGTGTGTGTGGTTGTCTTCTGGGTGACCGGAGTAAATCACTGACTCACCTGTTGACAATTTGGTGAGTCCGTTTCCGTTCCATCTGCTTTCGCAGATCCCCAATACTTGTATTCCGTATCTCCTCATTTCGCTTGCGATCTGGGCAGCTTTGCTAGTCTCGTACATGGTGCGGACATTCCATGTCCCCACACAGACTTTTTCTTTTGACGCAAGGAGATTGTTCACGCTGAAGTTTCTGTAGCATCTTTGTTTACAGGGTGGGGTTGCTGGCCTCACGCTTGAGTTTAGTCTTCGGGTACCTGAAATAGAAAAAAGGTTAGTGTTGCGTGACCGCAGAGCCCAGGGGACATCTGCTTGAGGCCGGTCACACGCGGCCTGGTGTGTCTCAGTAGTATACTTATCACTTCTGCCCTGTAACACGGCAGCAGAAAGCGCGGTCGTTGTTAATCCGGGCCACGGCCGATCCGGCATATTTATATTAGTATATACAAATCACCAAAATAACTGTACAGCTTTGAAGTAAGGTCACGAGAAGAGATCATGAATATCCCCATCATTTATTCGGAACAAAAGTAGTAAGAGGGAAAATTTGTTTTTAGTGAATTCTTCTTCAGGCTGTACAGTTATAAATCCATTAATTTTTAACATACAGTAGCCAGTAAGGACAGACTAGAATTATATCAGATGTATTGTGGAACAGGTGCAAGTTCACTAATAGTACTTACAAGTTCACACCACAGCAACGTCATTAATTCACCATCATTATTATAGTTATTTGTCACCCCTCGAAGTTACGTCTAGTCTATCCCATATGTTGGTATATTTTTTCTGTAGGATTCATACTGCTTCACGTTTCACTTGCCTTTGAAACCTGTACGTTTGTCGACTATAAATATACATGCTCATCATCTAATTTTATCTCATATTCCTGTTGACCATGCATATTCTAAGTGATAATCAAAAGTAGCTGATTGTTATTCCATCTTGCACTTGTTCCTCAATTCACCTCATATAATTCTAATCTGTCTTTACCGGGTACTGTATGCTAAAAATAACTGGTTTTGTAATTGTACGGCCTGAAGAATTTACTGAAAACAACTGTTCCCCATTACTATTTTCTTCTGAAAAGAAGTGTCTTTGCAAACTTATGTGTTCTTAATTGCATAACATAGTAATTTTCCCACCCCTTAGGGCGTATTAATTTTCTAAGTGATGTCTGTTCGTGCTGAAGTTCATCTTGTAGACAATGGAATCGCTCGCAAAATCAATATAAAAATGAACCGACTTTACAGTTTAAAAATAACTGCGTAGTTTAAATGTGTTTGGACTCAGATATTAGATAATTTTATTTGCTTTAAAACGGTGATAGAATTTTAGTACATGGATGCTGTTTCCGGCGCAGTTTATTGCTCAGAAAGATGAGACCTTGACCACTAGACAATATCTTTATTAAAATGACGCACTGTTTTACTGAGTAACCATCGCACTTATAATAAAATTAGTATGAATTATTTACCTCTACAAACGGTCCAATCGCAACTTGATAGTAATGTTCCAAACACTCCAAAGTTTTATCTTCTGTGTCATCTGTGAGGCAAATACATCTTATTTGAGCGAATTCGGTCGCCGAACGTTTTACAGGTGGGATACTTCTGCGCACGTCCTGTGCATTTGATGAATGTCTTGATTGAGTTTCCAGTGTTTCCGGTTTTATTGCTGCTTTCAAATCGGTCGAATGACGGGCGTATATAACGAATCTACCCAAAATCGGCGGTTCAATGCTTTCACCATAAATTCGAGTTGCCAGTTCTTTTACTGATACATTATTGGGACAATCTATCAACCACAATCTATTTTTAGAAATGAAAAATAAATTAGAAACGTCAGCATATCACCAAATTAATGACGTTTAACTGATCTATATTAATTATTAACAATTTTAAGTGTGCGCTAGACTATACTAAAAAGCTTTATTTCATTTATTGAAATATGTATTTTTATGAGTATACAGATTATCGAGATGCGAAAATTACAGACGATAAATAGTATGTCCTACATTTGTCTAGCTTATGAGCATATTACAACTGTCAAAATACTAAAGTGATTCCAAGCAGATTTTCCAAATAGTTTTTATTACTTAGCAGTTGGATTAAAAATTTAAGAGGAAAGGAGAATTCGTAGTTTCACAATATTTTGATCACCGTGTTGAGTCCATAAACTGTTGTAGTACTGAGGGAATAATTATGACCAACACTTCATACTAGCATTCTTAATATCATTACGATTATGAAATAACTGTTGGCTTTTGGTCATTGATGCCGTAAAGCCATATCAGTATACTATTAAATATTAAGTAAATAATAATAGGTAAATGGCTTTATTCTGTAAAAATGATTACATAGTGTAAATAATTCTCAATGTAATTTCTATTTTAGGATTCGCAAGGACAAGCGGATAATCCGTTATCAGATTTCTTGACGTTTTAACTCGTGTATTTTTCACAAATTACTGATTTTATTAGTGTTCATGGAATTCGGATAATTGGAAGTGGAAAGTCCCAAAACCTGTTTCATTTTCAGTTTATTTATATGAAACAGTTAAACATGAATGAAACAAAAACTGTCAAATCAGATTCTGTGTTTGTGGAGTTTTGACTGACTTTAAAGTAAATTTAACCACAAAACAAACCATTTAGAGAATTGTTGAAACCAGATAGGACTGGAAGCTGTTCCTCCGTAGTCCGAAGCTCATCAGCACTACACACCTATGGTTATAGGGGAGGTTGAACGTAGCATCTTCTACTACCTTTCAGTGATTGGGTCGGAACCTGATGGTGTATGAACTCTAATTTGGCAACATAAAGCTACTGCTATCCACCGTTATCAACGCTTGTATTCGTTCTCACATGTGACCTGTTACACCACACTAGTCACTCATCACACTGAAACCCTTGAAGTCTCTTCTGTGGTCATTAATTCATAAGCAATGGACTAGTTTGTAAATGGTGGTTTTGCTCGGTGTGTGTGTGGTTCTTGGTTCACTGACACAAGTTGCAATTCATGAGGCACTAAGTTCCGACTCGGTGATCAAATGTTGAATTGTCTGCATTTTAACCCCTAATAAGTGCGAAAGGATGAGTACTAGTTACGATTTGTAAAGTGTTTTCTGCTTGCCATTACTGTTGCCCCTGGGGAGATTTATTGATCTGATCTACATGTAACGCAGGAAAATAAAGTCACTTTGCCTTGAAGGAAAAAGTTGTGTGAGTAACTTGATATTATTATAAACAATAATTTGTGCTCGAAACGTCATCAGTTAATTTTAGTGTAACAGTGTGTGACTTATCAAAATAAAGTCTTATCCATAATGGAGTTACACTCTGCCACAGTGCCCAAGTTTTATACTTATATCACTTTACCTTGCTGAAACTGTTGTGGTGAATGACACACAGTCTTTATGACGCGTCATTGGTGTAGATCCAGTGATATCTTCCCATACTGCTGGATTTGTCCCACCAGATAAACTGCAGAGGAGCCGAATTTTCGACGAAATGGCAGCTGCATCTGGGCATGGTTTGCTTGTGCTGCGTGGAACCGGTATTGTTAATGTGATAGGTTTATGAAACTTTCGTCTTCTAGGTTCAATGCTTACAATGGGAGATACGGAAACACGACAACCTGCTATACGGTTGACGATATCAGAAGAAATAGGTTGCGCCTAAAATATAAAGAAAATAGTTATGTGAACCTTAATTACAATTTTTTGTTAATTTAAACAAAATAATGCATAAGGCAGTATAAGTCACATACTTGTAGGCCGACTTTTATCCTTTTTTGAAGTGATCCCGGGGGAAATACTGCTTGGACTTGTGGTACCACAGTCGAACTAATCAGCCCTCCATCGGAACCTATGTAAGCCACTTCTTGACGAAATCTTGAGATTAAAGCAAAATATTGAGGAAAGTCGTACGTCAAAATTCGGTGGATCCGTTTATTGAGAGTTGCGTTGCTCAAGTCAGAGTGGTCTAAAATTCGGAAAAAAGAATTAAGGGTCACTTTGACGTAGAGCTAATCTAATTCATAAAACCAGTAAGTCATCATTTATGCCTCGGATGAAATTATTTTTAAAGTATCAGCCTGACACATTGGTCACTGTGTGAAGTACTTGCTCGATACTCTCATTAGGTTATATATGTCAGTTTCCCATTAGGTACAACATAGTTCTGAAGTGAAGTTAATCATATAGAGGTCATTATACTTAGCAGTGAAGCAGGAGAGTGTTGTGGGGCATATGTAGCCAGCAAATTGGAAATATGTCATGTTACACAACACTCAAAGTTAAGAAATTTGTATACAGGACATCCATTTGGTCTAGAAAACATTGATAAAGAAAAATACTATATTTCCTAATTTCCCGTTCAGTACACTTTAAAGATAATACGCATCTTGGAAACCAACCGAAAATTTACTTATGACGGAAAAATAAATAGACTGGCTGTGTTTAGGAACTGCAGAGGGATAAATGACATTATGGTTGTGTCGTACCGAAAACTGTTCGAGAGTGGAAAATACCGGGGTGAAAAGCTTTCTCCGATCTCATATGCTTTAGAATAAGGTTTAGTGACACCGTCACCTCAATCACCATTTCCATCTCCCGAGGTGAAGGATATTCTCTACCACCACTTAGTTACAACGATCGGACTGTTTGCTTCTGACTTCATTTGTTAGCATTAGTCTAGTTAAAACTTTATGAGGAATGTCTAAGAGTGCGACAATGATTCTCATTGGGAAATATGAAGTCGAGAAAATTAATTACCAGGTATTGTTTCTCAATGTCCTCGCCTCTTTTGTTGGCTTCTAATCTAATTATTTTCGAAGTGACATGATAGTACAGCGTCCATTTTATAACACTGCGGCGAAAACTAATGGACTTACCGAATGCATCCCCCAAGGAGTCATGAATTGCTTGTTCAGTTGCTTCTAGTGTATGCTCTTTCCAAGAATTTCCCGTTTCACTACGAATAATTATAATTTCACGTTCTCTTCCTCTACCTGAAACTATGTGGGGCACTTCAATTAGAATAGGTAGAGAGAAACGCATTTGGTATGGACTCATCTCAATGATTCTACAATGAAACAGAAATATTAATTAGGCACAAGTTATAATTGTAATTCAACAGCATTGCATTATACTAGTCATTTTGTATGTGACACGTCTTTTGGTTAAAAGTCAACTTCAAACCGTCCATTTTTCAAAACATGTGATTGTTTCAAGAACTATTATATAGTTTTAAATTATATTTGAGTTGGAAAACACTAACTGCTTCACTTGCATTACTTAAGTTTTTGTGTTTTCTCTCCAAACTCGTTGTGAAGGTGATTAATCGCTGCTATTGCCTACGATACTTAGAACATGAATTTCACCCTCGCTAGAAATCTCTCGCTGTATGTATACTTTTCACATTTAAGTTTTTATTATTCCCAGGAAGAAGTCCAGAGCAATTTACCAAAAACAACATTGGAATTATTAATTTCTATTTTCTCTGTGATTTAAACAAATATAATCTTTATTTATGTCTATTATTCAATTGGCATCAAATTATTGTGAAACTTTCCGGTCAAATCTAGACCAGAGTTAGTACAAATGTATTTGCTTGGATTCTAAGTTACGTCATACTTCATGTTGATATCAAAATCCCTGTTTCATTACTTTGAACAAAATATGAATTTATCACGGACTAGTCATTGAAATTCAGGCAGAAGATAGAAAAATTTCTCGTTTGAGTGTGTATTTGGATGATGAATTTATTATTTTCAAGTGTTGGTTTGTAGGGATTTGATTGGTTACAGGATTTCATCATGAGCTGACATCAGTTAGAGAACCACTGGAAAACCTGGGAGTACTGGACAGCTGTTTCGTCCTAGTTTGGGACTCTTCATCAGTACGCACCCACCGGGATTCGAACCCAGGACCTTCTGGTTACAAGGCGAGCTCGTATACCACTAAGCCACTGGGACCCAATCCAATGGTCCATGAATTCTAACTTCTGCCAATTCACGACATAGCGCGACCCCTAGCCAATGTGGGGTGGGTGGGTAGTCACCTGGGTTCTAGTGAGAAGCCGTGACCAGTAGGGTGCAGCAGGTTGGGCGTGAGGACAAATACTCGCCGAAGACATTGGCTAGCGGTTGCGCTATGTCGTGAATTGGCAGAAGTTAGAATTCATGGACCATTGGATCGGGTCCCAGTGGCTTAGTGGTATACGAGCTCGCCTTGTAACCAGAAGGTCCTGAGTTCGAATCCCGGTGGGTGCGTACTGCTGGAGAGTCCCAAACTAGGACGAAACAGCTGTCCAGTACTCCCAGGTTTTCCAGTGGTTCTCTAACTGATGTCAGCTCATGATGAATTTATTAGTCAGAAGAAATATTTTTACAGAATCCAAATTCAATCTATCTGCAGAAACCCTCCGAAGGAATTTTCGTAACTCGGAAAGCGACCGGTAGTCGATCACTCCTCAAAGAATTTTAGTCTAATATTTTCCTTCCTTATTCTGCATTTACCTTTACCTTTACCTCCTTTACCTCGCTAAGCCAGAAATAATGCTGGTAAAGAGGAAAGGTTGGGCATGAGGCTAGCAACCTCATCCTGTAAAATAAACACTACTACAGAAACTTCAAGCTACTAGCTTGAAGCCCTATGTTCCACTGGGGAACGTGAAGGAAAAAAAAATTCTGCATTTAACTGTCAGTCGTTTAAATCTCTCCGTTCTTGCGAATTTTTTTAATGTTTTATCAAACATTATTGGCGTAATGAAATTACGTTAACTATTAACTTGAAAAACTAAAGACTTTTTACAACATTGTTTCATGGTTGAATTAAGTAGGCTGATTCACCAGGTACTCATTTAGTTTAAACTGAGAGCAGCAGTACTGTAGTGACTACTGCGAAGATTTATTAGTAGTATCTACAGAGACGTTCATCTGCGTAAAAATATCAAATAGCAGGGAGATACTTTTGATGTCAGGGAAGGCAAATGATACAGCGTTATGGAGACGTGTAAGGAATACAAAGAAACACAACATGAAGTCCAGAATTACCACAACACGAAGATCTGTAAAAATGGTGCCTTGAAGATAAGGTATACATAATTCATCCATATACAGATACCAATTTTCAAATAAACATTCCTTTGCCAGGCCTTCGTCTTCTACCGATGCTGGGTTGTAGGGGGTCAAGGATGCTACAGCGAATGTGGTCGTGCTGGGGACGCTATTTCAAGGTCGAGCAAAGGTGGCATATGATATTGTGAAGCGGTCAAGTGGGACGAAGACATGGAAGCTGGTGGTTAAAAGATTGGTGGCGGAGTTCGACAGTTCAACAGACAGGCAGCTAGAGATGCCACGAAGCTGTTACCAGACTGGACGAGTCCACTAGGTCGAGCACTCTCTAAACTGGATGAAGAGTAGTAGTTATTGGCGTCTCAGTCTAACACATTTCTCAGCAACTATAACTAGTTGGCGCTGCACAACCCATGGACATCACTGAGCTGGCGGAGGTGGCCAGGTAGCTGATGAGCACAACGGCTGCAGCAACAAAGCCACCAAAATTGAACGAATGGGGACAGAAAGTGGAAGATTTGCAGCGTGAAGTAGTGGCACGACGAATGAGCACAGGAAAGACCTATGTTTTTATGCTGATGAACGTCTCTTGATATACTACTAATAAATCTTATCAGTAGAACTCGCCACAGTACCACTATATTCTAATGACTTCAATTTACATACAGAAACACTGTAAGTCAACACAAAGCAGGGTTTTCCTTAATGACTACAGTTCTTAAATAATACTGATATCCTTCAGTATTATGCTTTATATTGTGATTTCATTTCTAACTTCAAGATGTTTGAGTTTCATTTCGTAAATAAAACAGGAATTATTTGACGGAGTTATTATCAAGAACTCAGGAAGATGAGCCTGATTATAACAGTTCTGATATGAATCCTCAGTAGTAATGAGTTAGCACACCAGTTGCAACACTGAAATCCAAACGTTTGTAATAGTAGTTATCACTGACTAAAATTAATTCGAAGCTAATTCGCTTGTTACGCCAAAACTAAATTCGAGAGTTTCTTAAATACAACTGGATGTTAATGTGTACATTACGTGAAATCGAAATATATTTACTGCATTTTTTCATCATAGTCAGTGAATAATAATAGGCCCCGTCTGAAAATACTGGTACGTTAGTTTATGGAGACCGTTTTAAAACTCAGACAAAGGCGTTGTTAAGGGCACCTTTGTATCCTGGATTAATTTGATTACAATGGGAAATGTGTAAATAAATACTGTAATGTGAGTAATCCTTTATGAGAGAATGGAACATGCATGATTTCGTGATCCCTGTAAGTTATTATTACGTTTTCTAGTAATCTGAATGGGGTTAGATAATTACATACTAGTTCCAGTATTTTCATTAGGAAAATGCGTTCAGACAAGAAAACAAGAAAATGTAAGTATTTTTAGAGTAAACTTTCCGATAAACGAATTCTTTACATTGTAAAAGCAGCTTTAATATTTCTAGGTAAATTGCTTGCTATGGTAGGGTTTTTGTTTCAGCTTCAGTCAGCACTCTTCTTACATTAACATCAGTCTAGCAGTTTAAGGAAATTTCAGATAGTCTCCATAAACAATTTATCAGTCATTAAAACAGAATATAAAGAATACTTTTCCGAATGGATTTTTAGTTATTTACTTATCTTTATGTTCATTAGCCATATAAATAAACTTAAAATATCCTATTCTGACATATCTTTGGCATGCATTTTAGGAATGAATATTTGAGGAAGATTGTTGATATAAACTAATATAACTCACCGGCAAGCTAGACAATCACCGTCGTTGAAACCTGGTGGATTATTAATAATTCCCGGACGGAGAAGACGACATATTATGCGTAATGGTCCAGTGGGTGCATTAGGGGGTACAAGAAATCGTAAATCAGGTCGCCTCTGAGCTTCAACTAGACCACCACGAGCATCGACGAGGAAAGAAATAAGGAACCTAACAAAGGATACATTAATATGTGAGGAAGTTGTAGAAAAATACATACCCTGATTTAACTGGCTTTCTAACTGAGTGAACGTTATCGACATCGAAATCCCATTCTGAGAGAGTAGTAGGTGAAGGCGTAATCATTGGTAGGCCAGCTAGTTTTTGTGATGTTGTAACTGTTTCAGTCTGCGTAGGAAACAAAAAGTTTATTAAATTTTATCATATTACTTACGTCTTGTTGTTTTTATTTTCCCAGTGCATTATATTATTTAATAATTTATCCAATCTTATATAAAGTGAGAAAGATACTCAGAAAGTTTACGTGAGTTAACATTTCTTTAGGCTTTTTGTAGCATAAAACGACTCTTCAGTTCTGTAGTAGATTACCACGTCCAAACAGGCCTTAAAGCTAGTATTGAAGAGTCTTCCTTTATCATCTATCGGGAATCGAATAAATTACCAAAGACATCTAGATACTAAACACTCGAAACAGGATAGGCCACTGAAATTCTTTTAAAAGGAAACAGGTTCAGTCACTGTTGCTACCATGGTCCGCTGTTTACCGTATAACTTCATGTGTATTCTCTGTTACTTCCCTTAATTTATCTGATATTCAGTTTATTGCCATATTATTAGATATCATCTCTTCATGATGCTTTTGAAATGTAATCTGTTGAAGCAGTTCATTCAGTGTAGTTTAAAGCACTCATGTTGTTAATAACAATATTTATTTATAAATTACTGTCACATGAATGTACCATCTTCGGTTCTGAAACGTTTTGTTACATGTACGCAAATATGTAAGCCATGTTAGTTTAAAGTAAAAACAGTATGAAGGTGGGATTTTTCTCTGTCTATATACTTATTATGACGAATGATCTACTAAGTAGCATTACATTCCATCACAATACAATAAAACGTAGACTGCTTTTACCTTTCTTCTAAAAGGTTATGGTTTGAAGTTGACTATAGATTTAAGTAAATTTAAATATTCTTTCTGACTTCATTACCCTTTAGGCTTATTCCTTTTATAAGGAATCACTGAATTTATCTTCTGTTATGTTGCGATAAAACTTCCCACCTACAACAGGATTTAAGTAGTCGGAGACCTAAAGGTGTTGGTAAGACTTGTTACGGGATTAGCTAGTCACATTATTTAGTTTCGTGCTATACTCAGTCTGAAATAAGGTACTGACAAGAAAAATGATGAAGAAAACTCCATCTGCACAGAAGAAAATACTTCACATGGAAAAATCTTCATTTCCCTGTGAAATAAATATGTACGAGCTAACAAACTGGTAGTCCGAATGCTATCGAAGGGAATTTCGAAACAAATCATATAAGGCTGTCCAAATAAAATATAAAACTGGTGAGCTACATGAATGAACAAGTGAATGTAAAGTATTTTCACCAATAAAAAGCGACGTACTTTTCCGCTGAACAATGGCTCACCACGTTCTTCTATCAAGCTGCCATGAAGACTTGAACGAACAGTTTCATCTCCCGAGACTCCAGAAAAGTAATCAAATGAAAAGTAAATTGAGAAACATGAAATAAACTATCACTTTCAACAAATCGGTAAAACTACAAACATGCAGTAAACGTGGAGTTGCAGAAATGTTGTTCATTCATATGGTGGAGTGCACGCGTAGGACAAAAAAAAGTCATTTTGATACAAACTGAGCATGTGATACATTAGTAGATAGATAAAAATTATCGTGCATGAAAGACATTTTACTTCATATTATGAGATTTTAACGAGGATACCACTACCATTTCTTTAGGTTATTTATTCTGAAAAAAGTAGTGTTTATTCATTTTCGGAAAATAATTTGAAGTATGTGATCTCATACATTCAGACGTACCTGCGCATTGTATTATAGTGTAGTGAGGCACAGAATCGCCTTCAGTATCTTAACAAAAACACTTTGTAGATATTAAAGCAGAGCTTAGAATTTGTGGATGAATTTCAACCACCTACTTTTGAACCCATTTAAAATCTACATTCAAGTATTCTGCGACTATTTAGGTGCAAGAAGACTTTCATTGGAAAGATGTATGGTACTAGCTGTTTCAAACTCTCTTTAGACAAATATCTTGTGTAATGGACACTGTGAATGACACATACTATACAATCTGAGCTGAAACGCAAAATTAGAAAAATCCTAACTTATTCCATGTATTCAGAAATATAATTAGTTCATATGAAAATTTTATAGCTCACCGACAGGACGTTGTCCAGAAATGTTCAATGTTTTTGGACGAAGTGAAATACCTTTTGCATACAGTGTTGACATGCCCGGAAGTCTTGTTAGATCATGTTCTCCTGATTTGAAAAATTAATATGTGTAATGATAGTAATCACAACCATGCAATGCACAATATTTTTGTTGTTAAGGTAAACAGTTTCGTTATGAGTGAACAAATTTGAGCATATACATGCGGAAAGAAAGAACAAAAATAAGCAAGCGGTAGAAGAGACAGACTTTTTAAAGTGGTCTCCTCACTTTATCAGTCATTTAAACGTATTTAACAGTATCCGTAATAAAGGGGACAGGAAATTTAAAATAGTTCGTGCAAATCGGTAAATTTTTGATTTTTCATCAACAAGAAAAAAAGCAACAAATATTCAAATCCTCTTTCGTTCTAACCAAATGCATATGCAGATCTTATTAAGTGTAACAGATTTTTCACGACGTTTGGACTGCGATACAGTCTTAGAACAATACTGATCTCTTTATGTAAACCTGATAACAATTCATGTGTTATTTAGAGACACGGTTCATGTTTTTAAAGACATAATCAAGGTGAAAAACCAGCCAATTAAATTATATTGATGAGATATGAGATACATACCATGTCTCCTCAGCCAGAACGAGAAGGATAGAAGACTAATAGTTTTAGGATGCCAGTAAACTTCATAACTATCTAATGCATATTCCATGGAAAGCCTTATTTCTGAAATTTCTAATAATAGACTGATAATACAATATTCTTTCTCTTATCATTTGACTTGCAATATATGACAACTGGTCACTTTACTGATTAAAATGGGGCTTATAATACTCGTGTACATTCATTTCAACAAACTATCCACTGACCTAGTAGAGCACTAAGAAGGTAAAAATTTGTTTTGCGGACATCATCTTAGTGTTTTATTTGTCAGAATGATTTTAAATTCTACTATCCAAACTCGTAATTATTCAATTATTATTTGAAAACGAGGCTTATAAAATGTTAATTTTTAAATTCACTCTCATTTCCAAATTACTTACCAGTACGAGCGCGCATATACTCAAGTTGATTACATAATAGGTCATATGAACCTGTTCGTAACCAGCTGTCTTCTGAATAAAAAACAAATATAAACAAATATACATGTCGTAACACATATTGCAGAACATTTCTACTTCAGTAATGACAAGAGGAATATACACAATATAGATTAAAAACTTTCCTGAGGAATTACGTTTAAAATTAATTTTCAAAAGATATGATTCTGTACAAGCATAATCTAACTAACCATAGCAGGTGTTTAAATCACTAGCAATATAGTCATGTTACTAGGATTATCTACATGATAATCTTAAATGTTGATTGAAGTTCTTTTGACTACACTACTTATTCTCAGACTCTCTTCAGATTATTCACTCTTCACATTTACTAAAAGTAAGCTAAATTTTACACCTCACAATTTAATCTTCCTTTGAAATTGACAAATAGCAACTAGTGCAATAGTATGAGCGCGAACGCAAAATATATATTCACAATTAAGTAATATTTACAGAGAAAGATAACATTTTGAAACTTCAAAGGTAGTTTTTAAAATGGACAGAAATCTGATTTATTTTAGGGTCAACTGGCATCGATAAGAGAAAGGTTGGAAACCAAGGAAATTTAAGCAGCTTCTTTGTCTTAATTCAGGTGACCCTCCTAGGGATTTCGCTCAGACTATTTAGGTGTGAAGGTGACCATGTTTTCATTTAGTAGCTGGATGGGAATGTAGTAGACTTACTTCAAACCCATTGATTTCATGCTAACCTGCTTGTTTCAAAATCTGATCATGAGTACTTTAGTTGATTTGGACTCGTTACAGTTATTCTTGGTAAAATATATCAATAACCAATTTCAGTATCAAATACATGGTTGGCTTTACTTAACTGTCAAATCTTTTCCCGTGTTCAGAACGCATATTAGTAAAGCGAACCTGATTTGAAACCAGTAGTAAATCAGTAATTTATTTAAATGTTTCTTTTCATCGGGGCATGGTACATTTGGTCATACATTTATGTAGTAGCAGAAGTATCTGCAGAAACTCATTTATTGGCTTAAATTGTTATTCAGCCTAACTACTTTATATCTGCCCCAGTTATGCCATCTTAACCTTACCATTCATCAAAAAATTACGGGCTATTCACCACACAACAAAATATGTAGATGACGGTGATTTGTAACACCATCAAATATCAATAGGAATCAAAGTGTCAGTGATTCAACTCTTATTCTAATTTCTCTGTCACACTGCTGATTACTTCAGCCTAATAGATCAAAATTCTGTCACTTGACGCGCTGAGCACCTGTATTAGGCATAAAAACAAAAGTGATAATCATATATACTCTGTTGATCTTGCATTATTGAAATTCATGATCATATAAGTCAGCATTATGATCAAAGACACGAACAGCTATCATTACTCATATCATCTGTTAACTGAGTATAATATTTCCTCACTTTCAGTCATGTAGCAGGTTTCACTCATAAAGATGAGTCCTTACTCAATAAATGAATGTAATCACACATTCCAAGAGTTGTACTATCACAGTGTTGAGCCTGGGTACTTCTGGTGACCTTCTGAATAGGATGAAATGGTCGTAACTACTGACTTTCAGTTATTCTTTAGGTGATGTCAGTTCGTGGAGAAATTAATCTCAAATCAGTTCTATTCATTACAGAACTTCATGGTGGAATACAGCACTTTATCCACAATATAATGGAAGCAATATTGTGGTGAGAGCTGGTTGCTGGCCAGATTGGTGGACAGCAATTTACGTCAATGTTTACGTCATGAGACAAATAAGAACAAAGACTGACTCAAAAACCAGTCACAGCAGACTTTGCGTAGGCGGATACAATTTGCAGATAGGTAATCTGAACTTCAAGAAGCGGCCACGAAGAGGTGAAGGATTAACGTTCAGTGAAAAACCACCAATCAGAAGACTGTGTTTGTTTGCTTACAATAATCTATAATAATGTAGGTGAAAATCTATCAATATTTGTTGATGTCGTAAATAAACGATCTGTTGCTTGGCCCTTGTCTTGTGTTTTTACAATATTAACCTTAATGTTGAAACTTAAGATGCATATTCTTGGACCTAATGCCTTTTCTGAAACTGAACCAAGGATGGTGAGCAAAATATTTAAAATAGTGTATCACGAACAGTCCACTTCGGGATGTACTTCCTCTCACCATAAAATGTCCTTGAAATTCTAGTCTTCTTCCCCATAAAAAGCCAGCTCTCCTAAGCAGGACTATCTAAAATGTTTAGAAGTTTGATTTTACTTAATGTGCCAGTCAGATATGTTTCGGAGTATTCGAAACCCGTTTCATCATATAATTTTAGACTCTACATTGACCGTTCACGTACTTTAGTTATAATTTTTATACTACTCGTAAGTATATTGCACCATAATAGCATTTTCTCATTAGAGAAATCAGAAGTGTCGAGGTGATTATTTGCAGTGAGGCCTATTTTTCCAAACGTTTACTTGAAAGAATGAGCATTAAAATTGTGAAGTGTGATTTTCTGTAAACTCTCACCTGTGCCATCCAGCTTTTGTTTACTTTTATTTGGATATCGAAACATGGCTGGTGTAGACAAAATTTCAGCTGCATTTAAATTCAAAAACGAAACAAAAGACAACATTTAATGTGGACTACATTCAACAGCAGATTGTTTACAACAATGGAATTTTAAGCAGAACGGCTCATATATAAACAAATAATATTTTATTAGTATTATCATGATCAAGTGTAAGCTATTGTTCAGCTAAATTAGTGGAACGTAAAAATTTCCTTCCTCTAAACCTAGATTTCCAACAGACTTGAAAAGATAATGTGCCAATTATTTTTGAAACTAATACCATACGGTAATATGATGCGTTATAAAAAACTGGACTTATTCAGACAGAGTGTTTACTACGAACAGAGAGCTTATCAACCTTTTTGAACTTCTGTAAAATATGAAGGAGATGGTATTTTGTGGTCAGTTTAGATTGGAAGTTAGTAAGAGGATCTGGCTTCATTTATAGTACATCATCGTGATGATGAAAAAGAAAGCATATACACAATTTCTGAATTCCTAGTATATAATGCTGAATACATGAATCTTGTCGGTTTGAAGTTTCTGAATATTAGTAATTTTGATATCCGCTTAATGGCCAGTGTGAAATCTAGTAATGTAAGCATAATTTATGCTTTTACTTCCTTATCCTTAACCGATATGCATATTCTAACAGATTTTGGTATGTATAACCCTTACGTACAACAAAATATTTTGCCTGCTAACTTATCCATACGACAACAAAAGGGAGAAGACCACTTAAAGTTCTATAAATAAATGATACTGAAACTAGACCACAATGTGGTGATTCCCTTATTTAAAGTGGAAACTATTTATATCATATTGATAACTTATTTTCTGTTGCATTGCACATGCAATATGAATAACATACTTAATCATAATTAACTAGTGACTATTTGTGAAATAACTGACACCATAGTTTGGTGAAGCCTTAAAAGTTAAAACTATTTAGTACTTGTCTAGCCTTAAAGGGAAAATTCTAAATGATAAACACTTTTGGCAGGATTCATTGCAGAAATCCAAACTCTCTAGCTCGATCTGAAATCTTCAGTCTCCTACCATTTTGTGTGAAAAGCTCAACACAAAAAAGCCATTAGTTATATTGAAGAGTGTGTCATTATACCTTGGGAAATTCAGTGTGAAAGAACAAATACACACTTACCACCTTCTTCTTCACTGTCTGAAATTATATGATCAGTCATATGCTCCGCTTTCTCTAAGACTACTGTTCCATTGACTAAGTCCGCATCACCATCTGCATGACCGTCAACGTCTGTTCCGTTCACATTCGGCACTGCCCAGTCGCTGGCGTCAGTTGTGATTGCTTGCAGTGTCTCAAACAAATTTAGGTAATGTTGTTTGTGTGCTATCTGTGCCGCTGTCCATCCTTGCTATAGAAGTATATATGGAAAAACGTTAGTAAAAAGGCCACTAAACAAATCACTGCTGAGAAATTAACAAATTGAATAGTTTTAAGTGAAAAGCGATCATTATTGTACCTATTTTTATGAGATTTGCATTACTTTACCGTAACGAGATGCAACACCTACCTTATTTCGACAGTTTTGATCAGCTCCCATTTGAATTAGTTTTAATGCTATTTGAAGATGACCTTGTTGTGCTGCTAAATGTAGTGGAGTTGATCCTAGATGAGTACGACTGTTAATCACCTGTGGAAGTTCTTTTTCAGATATTCGTGTAAGAAGTAGACGAAGAGAAGCCAACTGACCCCTGTATGCAGCTGAATGTAATGGTGTAAACCCTGCTTCTAATGTCTTTGTGTCTGTGGATGCACCTGAGTTCAACAGATATTCAGACACATTCACTTTGTCTTCCTGTACTGCCAAATGCAGTGGAGTTAACCCATCCTAGAGAAAAAAATATAGCAATCTGTCATTTGGTAACTATAATTATTTGATTTAAATAAAGATTAGTAACTCAGTTTACACCTATTTGAAAATCCCGGAAACAGATGAGGATATTAAGTAACTGCTCATCCCAATCTGAAAAATCTCAGCAGTTTTCCGAATTAAATCACTTAAATTTGGGATTCAGTGAAAGTTATGTGTTGGATGTGAATCTTATAAGTTACATTTCTAAAGTAATCAATTTTGAGTACTAATGACCATTGATGTAAGAATCGAACTTGGACACTGGGGTAGAGTATAATTCCATTATGGAGAAAATTTTTTTAAGATAAAATCACACAGTGTTATACAGTAATATTTACTGATGACGTTTAGAGCACAAATTATTGCTCATAATAATATGATGAACATATTTAAAACGAAAACAAATCACCGCTTTTAGTTTTCATTGACTCTGAAGTCAAAAGTATTGTTCATTGACATTTTCTTCTCCTCATTCATTGAATGCTGAGTGAAAAATTTCAGTAGCAGTTGTGCTGTTTATTCCAGATGCGATAGCTAACCTTACACTCAAATTCCCTACTTTTCCAAGCTTACCGCCAGCTAGTAAACAAGGAGAAGTGTATAAGTGCATTGTCTGGGAATTGACACCGAATCTACAGTGTGGCTAGTGAACATTCTACCGTTGAACCATCAACGTAACTTCATGAATTAAATTACTTGAATAAATCAAGTATGTAGTAGGAGAAGTCAGTGAATGAAATTTATGTTAAATAATTTGATTAGTCAACACTAACCTACCTTGGCTGCACAGTCTACCTGAGCTTTATATTCTTCAACAAGAAGTTTAACTATCTCTATTCGACCATCTTGTGAAGCCAAATGAAGTGGAGTGTAACCACTTCTTGATCCTCTGTCAATCACAGCACCTTTAGATGCTAACAAACGAACTGATTCTAAATTGTTCCGTTTAGCTGCTAAGTGCAGAGGTGTAAAACCATTTCTTACAGGCCGATTAACATCTCCTCCACATTCGATCAGTTTCTTTAGTACCTTTAAAATATTTTTAAATAATAAAGACAACAAATAAACTTCATAATAATTTTGTACGGGGGATACTGGATACAATATGATTGTTGGCTTACTACGGAAAAATAGTTGTTAAAGTTCACTGAATTCTAAACTAGAACTATTAATTCTTAGACTGTTACTAAGCGACAAAAATCCGGCCATCGCTAAACTCTTCACTAGGAATTTTTTATTATTCAGTTTATGTTCAATTAATGTACACCATTACGCTTTTATGCATCAACCTATTGAGACCTACAGTGGTTACATACACGTCTCCTGTAGTTAATTCTTGTTGTGAAATCGATATGAGATACTTAATGATTTTTTCAGTTTTTTAGGGCGTTGTCTTCCTAAACTTAACTATGATTTAGACATTACTAAGAAGTAATACTTAATTTACAAAAAAAAGACGCTGGCATTCTACACTAAACATCATGCATAATAAAATACACCTGGTAATTTAGTCTCAAAAGTTTTGATAGCATACAGATTTAAAGTATCGCGTTTCTCAGTAACCATACGGAAACTGAAGACGTCTAATCTTCTACAATAAGAAAGTGAAAAACCTTCTGATGTGCTTTACTTCTTAAATACACGAATGAAAATACTAAGGATTCCAAATGATACTCCATCAATTTGAACAAGGCACTTGAGCTAACAGTGTCTTCTTCTGTTCCATTCTTCACAGACTTTACTGTGAGAAACACAGCTTTATAATGCATGTTGAAGATTTTAGCTATTAAGTGAAATTTATGAATTAATATTTATGATAACAACAATAATTTCAATGATGACATAAGCAGTATTTCGTCACAAATAAGTTTGCAAAGCAGCCTTTCATACAGTGGTAATTATTTCATTTCGGTAATATTTTGAGCTTCATTCACATGTTTCCAGAGGTAATAATAGTTAGCATTGGTAGTTGTAAGCAATACTGGAGTATAGATATTTTAGTAGGCGAATTTGATCGAAATTTTATAAATTTAAAGCTCATTAAGTATGGAATGAATACATAAACAGTGTCAAAATAAGTATGATAAGAAATATATGTGAAAGAGTGTGAAATAAGAAAGTCTTGAAAATCTTAGGAATCAAGAGAGTGATAACGGTAAAATAAGTGTATTGGGTTATTACAAATTTAGTTGTTCATCAAAGATAGACTTTAAATCCCGCTAAAATGTTTGGTGAAATAAGATAAATAGTCTTTAGAGCACCTTAGATTACACCTGCACCTTAGATTACAATTGAAGTAATAAAATGAGATGAAGCTTGTTGTATTTAATGGTAATTTTCACAGCCAAGAAGGTAATGCGTTGCCTAGTTATTCAACACGTATAGTTACCTGCAGGAACAGAAAAACGCCTAAATAAACACCGAAACGACTTCTTTTTATTACATCTTCTCAGTAATTAAGATGCTACTTTGTTTGAGTTTCATCCGTCCCCCCGTTTATTATGGCGTTTTAAATCCTAATTGTAATTTTACTAATTTGACGCTTGACCGGAAATTACTCTGGAACTTTCCCACCCATTTATCAATAATACACGAATGTACAGCCTAGTTGATGAATTCGTCGAAAAGAAAATTTTCTTCGCTGCAACCGTCCTTTTAATAATTCATCTAGATACATTGGTTGGTTGGAAAAGTATAAATGGAGACTAAACATTGACTGTATGGTTAACGAAAAATCACTATCATCAAGTAATATATATATATATATATATATATATATATAGGATAGATCACGTTAGCAGATCAGAGACCATGTCTCGATTTCACTCGATTTTAATACTTTAATACGGAATATACACATTGGGTCATAGGAGTTATTAAAAAGACAATTGCAGCGAAGAAAATTTTCTTTTCGACGAAGTCATAATCTAGGCTGTACATTCGTGTATTTATATCAAATGGATGGGAAAGTTCCAGAATAATTTCAGGTTAGGGGTCAAATTAATAAAAATTACAATTAGGAATTAGAATGCCATTATAAACAGGGGGACGGATAAAACTCGGACAAAGTAGCATTATAATAACTAAGAGGATTGACATTGTGCAATTGGGGGTTAGAAATGTCGAAATAACAAAATATACAGGATGTTTGGATAAAAAACTAATATGATGAATAATTGTTTATGCAATCAGGGATTAAATATGTAGAAATAGTAAAATGACAAAATAAACAGGAAGAGTGGATATGAAAATATGGTAGTGTAGACAGGGATTAAGAAAACTTAAAATAACATGAATAAACAGGAAGTTTAGGTAAGAAAGGCGATGAGATTGTCATTACTAAAAAATTTTACCTGTTCATGATGGCCATGGCTGGGAGAGGGGTTGGACGTAATTCTTTTGGATACAAAGCGTGGGTTTGAGCTTTTGGATAGCTAGCGCCTCAGCTATGCCCAGATGTATTGATTTCACTCCCTTTGATAGGTTTCATTGAATTATGTACATTACTTTGAAGGATTTTTCGAAAGGCGCTGAATGTTCTGAGTTGACCAGATGTTCTGTCACTGAACTGTATAAACGTTTTCGGTCTCCTTTTACTAGCCAGGCTGGGTAGTGTTCGCGAGCGCGTTTTCCAAGTCGGCGCATGGTACGGCCGATGTACTCAGCTCCACTAGAGCAAATAAACTGGTATATACACGTTGAGGTGGCCCAATGCGATGGCTTGTCTTTCACGTTCTGGCTGAACAGTTTCTTGCAAGAAAACGTCAATCGTAGGCTCGCAACGAAGTATGTTTTCCTAAGAGATTTGCAGAGGCGTTTGCGAAGGACTTCTGCTTCAATATCACTTTTGAGTTCTAGATTAAGCAGAAGTGTTTTCTTTGGAACGGATTGGACTTGTTCTGAAGTCCTCTTAGATTTGGGATTTTTATCTGTGAACCTGGGCGGCAAACCGTTTTCCATCAGGGTTTTTCGGAGATTAAGCAGTTCTTCTTCGATCACTTCCTCGCTGCATATCTTCCGAATCCTCGAGGAAAGAGCGTATATCAGGTTCCTCTTTCTGCTTAGGGGCGCGAAGCTTTGAAAGTTGATGAATTGTCCATTCCAAGTAGGCTTTTTGTATATGGATCTTTTCAGAGAGTTGTTGGCGTTTCTTGTTAGCTGGACGTCGAGGAAGTGGAACATTCCGTTGGATTCAGTCTCAAGTGTGAAGTCGATGTTTGGGTGGGCGTTATTGAAGATTTGAAGTAGGTTTTTTAAATCACAATTCTCATCACAAATAATGAAAGTATCATCGATGTATCTCATGTTGAGATGGAGGTCGTTGATACTTTGTCTTACATCTGAAAGCTAAACAGCTTTATACACATAATTATGCAGTTGGATCGGACTTTAAAATGCTACTAAAATAAATTCCTTTCATATTGTGACTACAGAAGACAAGGGCCAGACAACAGCTCGTTTATTGAGAAAATCAAGAGATAGCCTATCCTGCAGCTAAGCTCGTTCCTGTCTATCGAACAACTTGCTCTTTGATGCAATCAAAAATCGATAGATATCCTTCTAATGTTAACTACAACTGTATATGCAAATTTACATGTACCTGCAGAGCAGTTACATTGGGAAAACAGAAAGAAGGGCATATCTACGATTTTCTGAACAAGTACCGAAAAGCTTACGTCTAAAGGGAACAAATGCTTTACACAGTGCCATCGCCAGGCATCTGTTCGACACGGGTCATGAGGTGGACGTCGAAAAGTCGTTCAAAATTATCAATCAGCAAAAGAGCTCAATTCTCCTTCAGTTTGCTGAAGCCATCTCCATCAAGCGCCTGAAACCTGATTTATGTGTCCAGAAAGAAGTGGTTATCAGTCTTTCTTTGCCCTAATAACTGGATATTTTTCATCTGTCTTTCATCCATTGTGTATAATTATTATTGTTCGGAATAGTGTTTAATATTGCATATATATATATATATATATATATATACTATTAGTGTATGCGTATACTGATCGATTGATTCTTGTTTAAAATGAACTCTGTGCAAGTATGTTAAAATTGTTTTTGTAGATACATTTATTAATGTCTCTGCCCTGTAAGCAGCTGACGAGAAGACAACGAGATACAAGATGGTACCATTTTATTCTGCTAAAACTGTGGTTCTTGCTTTGTTCAAGAGATATTTATAGATTTTTGTATGCATTATTATGCGTTATTTTAGCAGAGAAGCAACGTCTTCTGATTGTTTTTTCTTGCTGAAGGTTATTTTGTACTGTTTGTGATTGTTGCTTCCGAGTTATCTATATGTCTGCGAATCGTGTTTGCACACGCTAAGTCTGCTGTGATTGGTTGTTGAGTTCCTCAAGGTTAGGTTTTGTTCTTGTTTTTTCTTATGATCTAGGGGATCTTAGATCTCGTTGTTAAATCTGAAGTAAATGTTGCAAGTTCATCCGGTTATACAACGCTGAGCATGTACGGCTTACCTGTGGTACATAAACAAGATGTTCTCCTCTACCTATTGCTAGATTTGACTCCTTCATTTAATTTCTAAGTGGCTGGTAGAGACTCCTGGATAGATGAATGGAATCGAATAAATTTTATATTGTTGATTCAGTTAAAAATGTCAGATAAAAGAATGATCTACATAGATGTCGTTTCGCTCTTCACCAATGTTCCACCAACAGAGACCATTTGTTTTCGAATAACACTGACGTCTGTATACGGATTTATTATCTAAAGGAGCTATTACTCCAATGTACTTGCAACGTTTACTTCAGATTTACCAAGGAAATCTACTGGCAGATGGATGGTGCAGCCATTGGACTTTAGGACCTCTCTTGGCCGACTGTATCATAGTAGGCGTAGAAAATACTTATCAACAACAGTCAATGACCCCCATGTCTATAAGAGATATATCGGTTATTCCGAACCTCCAATGATACTAATTTATTGAAAAGACTCAATACATATTAATGAAATCATTCAAACCTCGAAAACTAAGTGCGAGAGCTAATTTAAATGCTTTTCTTTTATTTAGTTAACTGATAAAATTTAGGATAAATGTGAACAAGTTTTGCATGACTCTTAAACCAGTAATTAGTTTTTTTAGCAGTAGCAGGAACATTCCAACTTATGCCACACGGCAACCAAGAATTTATTCAAATAGTGTCACAGTGAATAACCAGCTTTAATGTACAATTACATTATTAGTGAAACTTTAAGGCAGAAATGTTTGGTTCACTTATTAAGTTAGGGATTTCAGGTTTCAGCACTTATCGAAATGTTAGTTTTTAATTTTCAAATCTTATAATATAAAAATTGCATAGATGAGAATGAATAAACTATGGAACATAGTATACATGAAACCAATGTTACAAACCTGATTATTATTATAGTACGTCGCTACATGTACAGGTGTGAAACCATTACGACCAGATGCATTTGGATCAGACTTGGCGTGGTTTAGCAGCAGGTCAGTTATCCTACTTGAACCATATTTTGCTGCTAAATGTAACGGTGTAAATCCTTTCTATAAAAGTAGAATTAAAATTTCAAATGTATTAATCACACAAGTATTAATAACACCTTTTCACAATTTATCAGAAGTGTCAACTTGCAGACTTATGTCAGCATCAAAATATTCATACCTTGTTAAATTTCAGCATAAATTTGATACAATCTATGTACGAGTTCAGAAAAATCCTTTTCATAATTTTAACCACTTTATACCGTGTGACTCATGTGCACCTGTTGTCATAGGTTCTATTATGCATAATCTCAATAAGTTCTACACATGCATCTCCTAAATTGTATTGTCTACTAGTTGCAAAATTTTCCCACACTTCTGTAGCTCTGACAAATTTATTTTATTGAATAGATTAAAATGTTTTCGTCGACTTCCACAGAATGTTTACTTTGATTTCGAGAATTCTAGGCTCTTATAAAAAATGATGGTGCAAAGGCAGAAGCAAGAGACTTGTGTATCATTTGCTTGCTCTGATATCAAATCCACCACTCTGAAACTTCATGCTTTTATGCCGATGAACGTTTCTTTATAAACTGCCAATAAATCAGTAGTACCCACCACAATGGAACTACTCTTTAGCTTTAAGAATTCAACATACCGAAAGAATCCAACTAAATATCCTTTTAAGTTAAAACCAACATGTTCAGAAAAGCAAATTTGAATATATTGAGGCTGAAATAATATATATCAATAACATTGATAATAATCACGTTGAAATCACAAAAATCATGTAAAATCACCTTGGTTTTCACCTCTGTATTAGCTCCATGTTCAATTAACATCTGAACAATATCTTGTGAGTCTTCTTTAGTAGCAATATGCAGTGCTGAATAGTTATCTTTGGTCATCATATTAATATCAGCACCAGCTTTCAGCAATAATTCAACTATCGGAGAGTGATTTGTGCGCACAGCTACATGTAGAGGTGTTTGATTATCCTTTCAAAAGAAATGGGAAAAGACAAACAGGGAGATTTCAAATTTGTTTAACAGTCTTCAGAAGAATTCAGAATTCATTAAACACCATAATTTTGTTCGTTAATAGATATTTACCTTTCTGTTGTGTAGGTGAAAGACGCTAACTTGGTCTGAATGGCATTCTTGAAGCCATAAGAAATCCTTTTCATGCATGTCATATGGTGAATTCATCTTCATGTTTGGTACCACGGGTAACATTAATATGAAAATTTAGCTGTGTTTATATTAGCGTATCACATTATTATATATTACATAAGTTAAGACTACTAAAAACATATGACTAAGAGATATTTCAGAAAAATGAAAAGAGTATGCAGAAATGAGTGCTTTGCAACTCTGTTTAATGAAAAGTATGGCAATGGCACGAATTATTGAGTTTTAAATACAGAAGTTTTCAACTAAATAGGTTAGGAATTTCATTAGGCGTTTAGGAATTGAGACTGAATGCTGGATGGTCATTACAAACATTACCTGATGAGAAAGCTATGGTTCTCTTCATATTATTGCATTCTTTTCCTGTTAACTGATTGGGGATGATAAGGCGTATATCTTGGCAGCTTAGTTTTCTCAAAGCGTATGAACTTTTAAATTAAGGGTACATTACACTGTTATTTACTTTTGATTAACTTACTCTTGTGCGGCAATCTAAATTTGCTTGATATCCAAGTAGTATTTTGACTGTCTCCAGTTGTCCATTTCTAACCGCTAAGTGTAAAGCAGTTTCATTACGCAAAGTTGTTTGGTTCACATTTGTACCATGTTGTAAAAGAAAGGAAACAATGTCTCCGCATCCGACAAATGAAGCCACATGTAACGGCGTCAATCCGGTCTGGTAGTAAAAATCATATCGGTAGAAAATTGAATCATCAGTATTAAGATGGAGATAACAACCATCACTAAGGCTCACTAATGAACATTACACTTGAATATTTTCATAGAAGTGCTCAAGGGGGGTTAAAATTAAAAAACTTCTGCATATCTCCTGAATAATAGAGTCGATTTAGTATTTAAAATATCGAATATTGAGGTGAATTACAAAACTATTTTAAAAGGGTAAGTATCTGTCTTCTGTCGTGTAAATTACTTCAGCGTATTCATTTTAGAGTTAAATCTCAATGACTTTTTATTTATTAAACAAACAAAATTGGAGATTTGTTTAGCACAAAAAAGTATCATGTAGGGATCCGCAAACAAAGAAGAATACTTAGGTTAAAAATCAATTGTAACTGCTCAACAAATAGCCCGGTGAGAAACTAGTGTATTAATGAAAAACCATGTGCCACTCTTGTGTTTTGATTCATCAGTAAAATGAATAAGACAGTGGTTTCGTATAATTATGTATCTGAGGTTAAAATGTCACAGGTTTTAGCTTTGTCGTCGTCGGTAGTTGGCATTAGGATACCATTGTCCAGAAACTGCACAAGACTTGTATTCACTTTTGCAATGAAACTCATGTTGATAATTCATGGATAATCTCCATCCAGGCATTAATGAAAACAAAACACGCAGTTCAGCGAAGAGTAATTCTCTTTTGTATGCAGAGCTCCGGATTTTCTATGTGAATGGTCAAAGCTTCAGCGATACAAAGAAGACGAAACCGTATTGCCTTTCGTAGGTTATTCTTGACTTTGTAGATTTCTACTATCATGGCAACAACTTTGTTGATTCTTGATGACTGAAATTTTTGTTTGCCTGTTTCGTTAACTCCTTACAACTCTTGTATTCATTTAGAACTTTTACGTAGTTTCGTATTCTCTAATTTGTTCTTATGTGTATCCTGAGTACAATTCAATGATCAAACTATTCATATTATTACGTAAGTACATCTTAACAACTGTTTGTGACAACTCATCACCTTTGTTACTACACTAGTTTCATTAACACCCAATTTTCTTGACCGTTCACGTGTTACGTAACTCCACCTAAAACTTACCAATTTTCACCTGTTTAGTTAAAATAACCATAACGAATTATATTTTTGTTTGACAAACTTAATATACACATACATACAAAATAACCCATATATATTTGCGGTTGTACAGCTAAGAAAATGAATTCGCTGAAGATAGAGTCTTCGCTGAACTGCGTGTTTTGTTTTCATGTTGATAAGTTCGTCGTTATGATGCTTTTAACAAGTAGGAATATAGGTGAATACAAGAGCTAGCACTTGACTGTGATCCAGGGATAACTCATTCTCATCTGTTCACAATCTCCCCAGGTAACCAGATACTTCTGCGACTTATACCTTACTTATGTGTCTCAGTAATCATATAAGTTATTTTCATGATTGTCACCGTTAGAAGACTCAGAATAATTGAGCAAAGAATATCCTTTTCGATAAATTCCTCTTCTTGCTCTACAATTATATATATGTTTATATACATAGAATATTCTAGATTAGTAGTCAAAAATAATATGTGTTTTTAAATACCGCTAGAAGAGTATTTTAATGCAACTGCAAAACTGATTCGACAACCAAAAGTAAAGTCATTAAAATTAAAAACAAGTCATTCACCAAGTAGCAAGTCTGGTGAAAAATGCATGACTACTTACAGATGGGTGACTGATCTTATTCAACATTTCGGAATACGTGTGTCAGTATTTCCATAAGTGAGCTTGTGAACAAAGAATATTACTGGATCTTATCTGAAGAACTTTGGGGGAACCATTTTCCTTATTATTGCTTTTCTAATTGTTTACTCGGTTTATCCGTAAGGGACCTTTCTGAGTAGCAAACAGCTACTATTTAGGTGCTTTCTAAATTCACTTTCACTCATTTATTTCATAATTGGCACTGGCTTTTATTTTATTATGTTTTTTCTCCACTGATTGTTTGTTTCAGTACAAGCACGTTTCTTATACCCGTTTAAACAAGCCTCAAGGAAGTATCTGCTTTTAGGATATTCATAAGCCGTATTATTGCATTTATTCTCGCTATTTGGTCTCAAGTAAAATATTTGTCACAATTTGGTTGCTCAGAGCCCTGTCACATAAATGTGAGTAATTAACTTAAAATCATTTGATTAGCAATTCCATAATACTGGAAGGTGAAAATTGCATTTAGAGGGCTTCAGTTAGGTGTGAGTTTAGTTCTGCGACTAATCTAATCATTACTTTCTTATATTCTCATAGAGGTAAAAGGGCTTCGCTGGAGGCATTCGTTGTATTCTTTCCGAGAAGTTTTCCTATAAAACTGGAAACTCAAATGGTCTTTTTTACTGAAAAATTTGTAAGAAGTAATCATGATCACTGATACGTTAAAATAGTTAATTTCAGGTATCAAATATCTAGGTTAGGATACTTAACAATGCTGAAAATATTCAAAATAAATATAATCTGGTTGTACTGACTTTTAAATAACCTCATTAAAAATAACCCTTCTGGAAGCTTGCGATAGTTACAAATGAAGTGAAACGAATTCCAACAACTGACAGACTAACAACAATATAAGGGAGTTTATTACCTCTGTAGCAGCTTCAAGAAGAGCTCCATGTTTCAAAAGTAGTGAGGCCATTTCAACTCTTGACTTCTTGCATGCAATATGAAGTGCAGTGAATCCATTCTAAAAGTCGCAAAACAGAATAGAAGATTTATAAGTTCTGATATATGTGTTATGCAGTCTTTTAATAGAGAAAATGAGAAGGAAATCAGAAAACCAGTGTTAATAAATGTTCTTCGCAACTATATTCGATAGGCAGTTAAAATTTGTCCAGAAAATGTTATTCAACTTGTTGTAAGTTAAAATTAGTACTCTACTTCCAAACATGGAGATTATGCTCATGGTAAAAGGGTTTTACTAACCTTTTACTTTAAGATAAAAGGTCTTTGTACACATTAAATCACTAGAATTTGTTCCTGAAAAGATTTACCTGCTTATCAAGGAGTAATCCATAACATGATAAGAATAGCTCTCTAATGTTCCCATCCCCTATTCCTTAAGACATGTTTAGAAAAAAAGAAACAATATTAGGTTGAGAATTTATTTAATCAGGTCGGTGACAGGCAGTCTTTCGATGAAGACTGAAAGGATTATGGTACATTAGGGACTGGTTTATATCATTAATCATCTCATTGTGTCAGTACCTCTCCAATCTAAACTTCTCTAGCACGAACACCAGTTGGCATGAAAATAATTAAGAAACGAAGATCAAATTGTGATGTGTTGATCCATTGAGGGTTACGAGATGATTCAAATGAATAAGAAAGTCCAGTCATTTTTAGGAAGTAAGTGATTATAATTGTACAGATGGCTTCAGAAGGTTAAACTGTTTTGTATTTGTGAAGCCATTTGAATAAAGAATAATTCCATGCGTTGATGCAACCTTATGGAAAAAGAGTATCTGAAGTGCATATTTATTCACTTAGTTTCCTTTAACAATCTCTGTATGAACTGTCATTTCTAAGTTAGGTGAAAAGAATTATTAAAATTTTTAAATAGATGGTATCCACGATATATCTGAACACAATCATCAGTTTAAGTGACGTCAAAACTAAACAACTTCCTGAAAATGAAGTGTGGTTCACTCTTAATAAATACTGACTGAATTATGTCCTTGGGTAAAACAAGATTTTCTTAACACGCTGGGATTAATTTAAATAATTTATAATGAATCAATCTGACTCAGCGCTCAAATTATTCCAGGAAGTTCGTAACACCTACGGCCTGGAAACCTATAATTAGATTTGACATACTGCTCAGTTTCTCTAATTTCCGTTGATTATTGCTATATTGCCTTAATTATGTCAAGTAATCAGAAGCTCATTTTGGATGACACTGTAATTCATTTCTCAGAGCTGTAATTTCACGAAATTCAGTTGGAAGATAGTAACTAATGTGTAAAAGACTGATACAACGATGAGAATTTTTTATGCTAAATGAATTCAAAGTAGTTCTTATCACAAATCAAAGTCAGCTAGAGTAAAGTTTTGTGTTCATTTCTCAAGGAAAGTAATTAGAGAGAGAAAATTAATTCCACTGAATAGGGTCTATGATCCAGTTTTTACACTTGTACATTTATGTTATAGGACGATAACTGGAAGTGGATCGAAAACCTTGACAAAATAGAATCTGGACGAATATTTTGACGTTCTCAGTGGGTTGGTGTCCAGCTGCATTCTCAGATGTTTCAAAAATTAATACAATTCACCTTCCTTTAAAATCATTTTAATATCATCTAGTGACAAACCTAAGTAAAGATAGAAAATATGATAATAACTCATTTGCTACACTGTCTGAAAAAATAATTAAATAATATTATCATTTGAGAGTAGTTATGGTGCTGATCAGCTAAAGGAGACTGTATAAGTGAAAGACAGAAAGCAAGAAAGTATTGAATCTCTCAAATTTAAACTGCTCCCCTGTTGACAGACATTATCAAAAATTCAACTACAACATTTTATAATTACACATTGTTCCTCCTTCTTTTCTTCTTTTTTTACTCAACTGAAAGGCTTACAGCTGTGATATCTGTTAAAAATACGCTGAACAACTTCAGTTGGACTGATGTTTAGTGCCTTGCTTTTGTTAAGTAGTAGTGTCAATAAGCTTACTGTAAAAGTGTGAATCACTATGAGACTAACCGAAAGCAATATTTGTAATGAAGACTGAAATCATTATGAACCACCATCCATGTAAGGCTACCATTAAAGTGAAAAGAAATTAGAAATATTATTAACATAATATCATAGCATTTGTGAAATAAATATTTGAAATAAACAAAAATTGGATTAAGATTAATTCAGTTTCTAGTAAAATTCCAGGAAAAAATACGTACTTCATCTTTGAAATGTAACAATATGATCTTGGCTTACACTTACTGCTTTAGGAGATTTCATATTATTTCAGTAGTTATAAATTATCATTAATCTTTTGTTAAACTCACCAAAGCTCTCGCATTGACATCACAGTGTGAATTCAGTAATGTTCGTGCAACATTCACATTCCCACAGTGAGCTGCAACGTGTAAAGGTGTAAGATAATCCTGTTGTGAAAAAGTAAAGATAAAGGAAAACATTAATTAAATTAGGTTTCCATATTTATCTCACTAATGATTACTGAGTAATTTCGCCAATGTTCAAGAGTCGAGCTGATCTGCTCTTTTAGGACGTATATACTACGTAAATATCTTTCTATAAATATCATGACAAGGTTAAAAATTTATTCAAAAATTGTATCTTACATCTGAGCGGTCTTTTACTACCAGATTACCTGCTAAAATTTCTATCTACCTGGTATTAACTAAAAAACGGGAGAATAATATAAACAATAAACAATTGGCCAGTATGTTTGTTGACGGTTCAGGGAAATAAAAAATTTAATGCTAAGGCTACTGTAGTAAAAGAGGTCAGGTCAAGCGTTTCTAAAATGCTGGATATTAAACTCTGTGTAACTCACGCCCACTCCTTTGTTCTTTTGTTTACTGTTAATTATGTCCAAATGATTTTTTATCCCTTACCTAATTACTTCTCACTCCTCTTGATTAAGTAAGAGTATTGACTGTTTTCACACATTGTTATTTCCCAAACACTCTGAATTAGTTTGTCACCTAGTGACAATAATCTCTTACCTCTGTTGTCAATTATTACTGTACATACTAACCCTTAGAGTGAAGTTACTAAAGGAGATTTCTTTACTGACTTATGTATTCCTAATATTTCATTTGCTTAGATCAGTAAGTCCATAGATTCATAGTCACAAAGCACTCATTTCGGTGTTTGATATTCTTAAATTTCGGTGATGCATAATAAATCGATGAGCTAATCCGATCAAAAACTGGGATGAAATGGGTGTTCAGTTTACTTTAATTTTCAGTAGCTTTTCAGTTAGTGTCAACCTGTTGTGAAGGTTACTTAGAAGTCATTCCGTTTCCAGCCAACCAAATATATGAATAGCTCTCTAGATCAACATTTCATATGTACTTTCACAAATGAAATACTGCAGGCCTTTTTTGGACTCAATCTATGAAAAATCTCACTACTGTTAATCTGTAAGTGACAACCATATTATCTCAGTTAACGGCACACTTAACGGTCTCCTTATAAGACAAGGGGTGGTCATGCAAGGTAAAAGCAATTTTATTACAAACCTTAGGTCTATAATCACTCAGTTTCATCATTATAAGAAAGGGAATAGAAGAAATCTTCAGTGAATCGTGCTTGCAGATTCAGTCTAATTCACTGTGAGAAGCATATTATATATATATATAGATGTGAATGACAAAAATATTATTAATATGCTTTTCATAATGAATAGTTTGATTGAATGAAACTTCAAAAGACCTATAAATGTATTTTTCTTCAGAATTTCGAGGAGAATGCGAATGAGCACTCTGCTGTGAAAGTTCATTTTTTATTAACAGCGCCATACTTTTGGGCCACATTGATTGTTATTATAAGATTCAAGTGACTTCCTTTTATCTTTGGATTTACAATTTGTTCACTAATTTCGGAAGCGTATATATAATAATGAGAAATTTTGTAGCTCTTTATTTTTTCAAACAAACATATTTAGAAAAATAAATTGAACCAAATAATATTTTGGTCTTAATGAGTTGGAAAAGTTTGAAGTAATTAATTACTTTTGCGAAATTGCAAAAACTGAAGTAGAAGAAGTAGTGCAATTCATATCCAAACTACCACATTCGACAGATTATGTAAAAGAACGCAGTGGGCAACTGTCTTCACTTACTGGAAGTAGCTTACGCATATATAGACGACAGGATTTGGGTCAGAAATGACTTCAAAATTTTGTATAGAATTTGTCACAGACTCATACCAAAGCTAATATCACTCTGTGTCGCTGTCTTTAAGATGGTTCTTTTATGATGACAAAAAAACTAAGTTTTACCTGTATGAACTGAAAGGTGAGGTGGAAGGTAATCATTTCATGTAGAGCATGTCATCATTCAATCAGTAAACTGAAATCCATAGGTGGTAATTTGTAGTAAAACGTGACACTTATTTGGTGTCCCATGTGAGCAATTAGAAATTTTGACTTTATCAGTTAAACGTTGTTTTTATTGTTTCGGCAAATGTATTTGGAAATATTTAACAGCTGAGATGAGGGAGATCTTTCAACTTCTTTAATAGACAACGTTGACTAAGTAGGTGGAATGAAGGAACTCGGAGATTTTAGGGACCAAAATTAAATCATTCAAAATGTATTCAAAGGACATATCTTTTATTTATTTATTATTCTTAAATGAATACTTCATTACTTTTTAAATGAATTTTGTTTCTCAGTGTTTTTTCCATTCCTCATTGATTCCAAATGCAAATTAACTAAAGATTTTGATGTCAGCATTAAGCATGGGAATATTTTTCACTGTATTTTCCAAATATCTAAAGTATCTAAGGTTAGATTTGAAGGAAGATTTACAGGCGTATGCATAAACAGAAAATGAATTTGTTACCATGGTAGCAAATTGAAATTCGTTGCTAGGTTAAATTTGCAGTAAATAAGTCTTACTTGATCGGACTTTATCAAGTGAAAACTTGCACTGTTGACTGATGTATATTCAGTCGACATTTTTAAACATTTCAAAAGTAGTGGATGTCTTAATGTCAGAAAATGTTTGAGCATTGTGGAATAGATCAAATAAAGTAAAATTATATTTCAGGAGTTTACACACAATGATAAGTTTTGTTTTTCGCAATATTTCGAGTAAAATTACTCCCCTCGGTCACACCAACTGTTGGAGTTGTTTTGTGTTTTAATTCACGCATTTATGATTTGTACTCATATATGTAGTCCATTTTTTTGTTTATTCATTTTTGTGTATTGAGAATTATATTCCAGGTTGTTGACAGTTGTGCTGAGTCACCGTTATTGCATGTCCGGTGTGACTTGATTAAATATGGATTCTTGGTATTAGATGGTTGGAGGTAATCGGCAGGAAGCCGTGGACCTCGGTTTCGTGCTAGTTGGCACTCATCAGCAAGGCGCATCTGCAACCTCGAAGGAACTCATGTCCAAGGCTTCCTGCCGATTGCCTCCAACCATCTAATATCAACAATTCAGAGTGCACCGCAATGGCGAGCCACCTAACATTGTGGCCACATCGCAAGCTTGACTGATAGAATTCAGTCTGCACTGAAGATAAGACTAGACACATTACACTAATTACTGACTAGTGTCCAATCAAAAATATGGATTCTGGTTTAATTCCCTCTTTCCATTTGTTCATATTAGTTTTTAGAATACAAACGTTGTTCCAATCGATACTGTGTTTTTTGTCCCATCAATAGTAGCTGAAATATTCACGGATTTTCGGGAAGAGAATGGATTTAAACCGTTGTGGTTATCAATAAAATGTTGGTGGAGATGTGTAGACGACACGTTGGTATTAATGAAAAATTCTTCTTGAACATAAACAGTCATGTCGACTCAGTAAAATTCATTATGAAAAAAGAGAATGAATTTGAGGAACTGTCTATGTTAGACTGCAAAATACAAAGAATAACAGATGATGTGGTGAGAGCTGGCTACTAGCCAAAATTGGTAGATAGTAATTTTACGTCAAAGCTTACGTCCCAATATTGGTCATGGAAAAAATAAGAACAAAGACTGACTCAAAAACCAATCACAGCAGACTTTGCGTAGGCGGATACAATTTGCAGATAGATAATCTGAACTTCAAGAAGAGACCACAAAGAGGTGAAGGATTAACGTTCAGTGAAAAACCACCAATCAGAAGACTGTGTTTGTTTGCTTACAATAACCTATAATAATGTAGGTGAAAATCTACAAATATCTGTTGATTTCGTAAATAAACGATCTGTTGCCTGACTCTTGCCTTCTCTCGTTACAATGGTAGCATAAAAATGACTCTATTGAGAAAAACTACACTACTATACGACTGTACAGCTTGAAAATGAAGTCGTTGAAAATAAATTTCTTCGCTGAGCGAAAAAAATGTGTTTTTACTTATGAATTTAATTCTTGTCGGAAAGTGCATTTTGCAAATGAAATGCTTCTTATCTGGTTTTCACTAAGTGACTTTAATTCATGAAATAATAGTAACCACACAAGTGATAATGGTGACAACAATTTGCTGATATTAGATGGTTGGAGGCAATTGTCAGGATGACTCGGACCTAGGTTTCGTGCTAGTTGGCACTCGTTAGCAAGGCGTATCCACCACCCTGAAGGAACTCATGTACTTCGGAGATTCGAACCCTCGTCAACCAGTGCTGCAGTCAGAGATGTTAGCATTGAGCTATTCATGCTCTCGATCGACTTCCTGTAGGACTGTAGTTGATACTTTGATTGGACACTAGTAACTAATGTGTAGAGCAAACCTAACTGATAGAATTCAGTCTGCACCAAAGAAAGGACTAGACACACCACACTATTTATTAGTGTCCAGTCAAAGATGACAACAAATGTTAGATAATTATTACAATTAACAACTACATAAAAACGGGATTTATATTGTTTTCTGGTAATACATTAAACAACCACTAATTTCCCCGATATTTGCTCAACTTACTAATAATATTTTTCAATAAAGTGGTCATATTTTATAATTCATTGTTCTCCTGGTGAATTTCATGTTGTCCTATTTGGTTATATCTTTATCGGAAACTTATTTCCAGCTTTATTGTCACAGGTTTCCTCATTTGCACATATTGTTGGTTAGATAACTGGCAAACCTATTCGAAATGTTCGCTTAGCACTAGATCACTTCACTAGAATCGCAGAGTGAAGGAATAATTTTAGCGTGATGTTATTTAAGGTAAGGAATAGAGAAATTTGTAGTGACCTGTTCATTTTACAAAAGGAATATTAAATTATTAATTGTGTTTTTATGAATGTAATGCTTGACTTACGATAGTAACATCGTTCGGATTAGATCCACTCTCCAGTAATAAGCGCGTAACTTGTTCGTGGTCACCTTGTGCAGCCATATGTAAAGGTGTTAAATCATTCTTTCGGCATTTCGAAATAAAAGAATTTAATTACAGAGTATAAGTGAAGGCGTGAAATATTTCGGTTAGTAGTTGGTAAAAGTTGTATTACTTGCTTTTTATACTTTAAACCTTTTATGATCTCTTTGTTTTTCTTTTCGTCCCAATTTGTATACTTGTGTAACCTAATTGTTAGAGCGAGTTACAAATAAAATTTTCGCACTCTTAACTGTTATTCATTCTTGTGTAGCAATAAGCTTAAATAATACTAGTCGTCACGACATTCACGGATATCATATCTGTTTATTTCTCACACACAGGTATTTCTATAACTTTTAGAAAGCTAACGTGTGAATTTGAATGATTATTTCATTTTTATTTAATTCAGTGTTATTTTAGTAAAGCCATTTCTTTGGTACTTCTTGAATTTTTTTGTTTCTAAATTATCGACTGTAACTAAGACCAGTTTCCATAACTGAACTGGTTACACAGTACGAATTGAGGTTTACGTAATGTGATTCGCTAAACATTTGGACACTGTTTTCTTGTTTGGTTTGGTAGGTGAACCCGAAGCTTGGTTAATATGGTTTCTTACTTAGTATAAATTTAATTTCTTGAGACTAAATTTAATCTAATCAATTACAGTTCGTTCTATTTTGACCGTTGTAAATTTTCGATTATCACTTTCAAATCATGCGAAGTGTTTACACGAAATCCAAAATAGGTAGTAGCTTCTACAACTGCAGCACTGAGTGATGTATATTTAATTAGTTCTGTGAGGCAAAATCAGTTCCACCAAGGTTGCCAAGTTTTAGTAAGCACGAAACTTGGATCTAGGGGCCCAAATATCTGACTTCAGTTCCAAAGAGAAATTCTCTAACTTAATGGATACATTGCAAACCTATCTGAAAGGGTTCCATCAGCACTATGAACTGAATGTGATGAAATTGTTTACTACCTACTAACCCACTAGTGATATTCGAAAGAAACAGCAGTGTGAATTTAGAAATTGGTAGCCATCTTGTTATATATTTCACTCGGATTCGTGGTAAGCATAAAATGAAAGCTTTTTGATAATTTCTAATATAACAGTAAAATTAGGGCACTTTGGTACAAAATAATTTCATATTAGACAAGCTTATATGACGCAACACAGTTGTAAAGAGTTAATAACCGTAAGAACCTGCATAGCAGTATTAAGTGTCACGTTTCAACGAATTTTGTCAGTAACTGAAACAAAATTGCTGTCCTTGCAAAATAGTTCATCAGACCATTTCAACTCAATAAAAGCGAACAAGGCATAATTCAAAATAATAGCTCCAACAAATAATTTTTTCGAATTTTCTTAATGCATGCTTGTTCAATGTTCTTCAAGTCTTACTGGTCGCCAGTGATGTCATAGGACCTAATTTTTATGGGACCACATTTAGAAATCCTAACAGTTGTCATTCATTATTTTAAAGTGTGAATGACTACTTCTAAGTGATTCATAATTTCTTCTTTAGAAAATGTCAAACAGAATTAAAACCAGTGAAAAATCAAAAATGTAATAGATACCTTCGTCTTCACCGATACATCAGCTCCGCGTTTCAGTAAACACTCCATAGTACTAGTTTGACCAGCACGTGCTGCACAATGTAAGGGTGTTAGTCCGTCACGAGTTCGAGAATTCACTTCGGCCCCAGCTTGAATGAGTAGATTGACGACATCATTTTTACCCCATTTTGCAGCTACATGTAATGGTGTTATGTAATTCTGTTTCGTCAGGTAAAGAAAAATAATAATCAGTTGTAAAAGTCATATTGGAGTCATTAATCTTCCAGTGTTTTTAGAGAAAAACATATTACACATAATGACTATTCAGATCTCCACTTGATTTTCATTCTCAGTGAAATTCTGTGCAAATTCATTCAGTGAATGACATTGTTTCAAAAAATTTGTTTATGCTTCACAAAAATCACTCATTCTTATTTTAATGAAAATCTAGTAGACAAGATTTATGGCACAAAACTTAAATATCGATATTCACATACTGACAGAGGAATCCGATATTGCTTTTGGCCTACCATCTATCATTTGAATGTTAGATCTGTGAAGTAGCGGCAGTGTTTTGAGAGTTGAAAGCCAATTTTCACTGATATTTTAGGTATAGAAAGCCTTAATTCAGTCAGCTTTTTGTTCACCACTGCTTTAGATCATTGATAAATACAGTTTATACACTCAGAGTTAAGAGAAATATGATATTTCTTTGTAAAGTATTACAACTATGTCTACTTATAAATTTGAGAAAGTCTTCTTAATTCGGTAGAACATTAAAAGTTATCTGGAAGTTGATTAACTCATGCTCATTTCTCATTACGGAAGACTTGAAATGAGTGAGAGCATAACATATTGAATTATACAGAAGTATGATGGGATTTTAAGTTCGCTAGTTTAATAAATAGTCCCAAGCTCAAAATATCACCAGTAAAACGTGACCTTTACGCTTCTAAAACTTCAGATCACACAAAACTTATTTTACACCGGAATCATAAAGACTCCTCATTTTGAGGACTGATGATGCCGCATGGTGGAAACCTTCAGAAAGCCAGTCGTTCAGTGTTTAAGCATGAAGCTGTTAAGGGTGCTTAGATGGCAGAAGAAGATGTATGCAAGCGATTTGAATGGAGGTGGACTGTCCGAGTTGTTAATGGGAGAGTCAGTAATCTACTCAGGTTACGAAGATGACAACTACGAAAACACTAATGGTGTGACTATCATGATGTCCACAACAGCAGCTAAAGCTCTTTTGTAGTGATAATCAATCTCTTCCAGGATTATTACACCAAGATTCAATTTAAAAGGAAGAAAATTTACAATTACACAGTACAACTCCAACGAAAAGAATAAGGAATATTTCTACAGGCAACTTCTCTGAGTAATGGACATGACGTGAGCCAGATAGGGAGATCAAAATTCTAATGAGTGGTGTGAATACCAGTTGAAATGAGAGTAGACAATTCAGCAAAATAGCCCACTGAGGGTCGAAAGGCGTTTGGTGAAATGAATGGAAATGGAGAACAGTTTGTAAACTTCTGCTCGTATTGGGACTTGTTAACTCGGAGTAAAGTGTACAGACTGCGAAGTGTGCACAGGGCGACCAGGGTTTCACCAGATGGATACACGAACAATGAGAATGACTTTACCCCAATCTGGAGAGAGTGGAGACGTAGTTTACTAGACACAGTGGTATTTTGAAGTAATTCATCAAAGAATATTATCACTTAAGTATTTCTTTCAATAAGCGAGACTTCAATATTCAGAGTTACTAAATATAGAACACTAATTACACGATATTATTATGTTGTTGCTAATTCAGATTTATCCATTGTATAAGTTATATACAAATGCGGGCTTCTCTTCTACGTAAATACCTTTACCAAAATCACTTGTTAGACATATATTTGCAACACTGAAGAACTAATTGTTTTTTGAAAAATTTCAGCTTTTATTAATTATTACAACTGTTTCATAATTTGATATAAGTATAAAACTTGGGCACTGTGGTAGAGCATAACTCCATTATGGATAAGACTTTATTTTGATAAATCACACAGTGTTGTACAGTAATATTAACTGATGACGTTTCGAGCACAAACTATTGCTCATAATCATATCAAGTTACTCACACACCTTTTTCCTTCATTTATATACATGTGTGGAATCGATTAGATATTGGGATAGAATTCAATATGAGATAATGTACATTCAGAAATAATAATACGAGTGTTATCGATCAATTACAATTGGATGGGAAATAAAACGATTGTTTTTATAGTTATAATAAGTTACTTCTTAGAATGTTGTGATGTGCTTGAATTGAAATAGAATATTAAGATTATTTATTATTCTCTTCTGATTTGACCGGAGGTAATAATATCTTCCATATTTCTGGTTCTTGCATTGAGTCATTTGTGTTGCATGTATTGAGTGTACACTCAATGAACAAGGATTCCGTAATCAGAAAGTAACAGAAATATGGAAGATATTATTACCTCCGGTCAAATCAGAAGAGAATAATAAATAATCTTAATATTCTATTTCAATTCAAGCACATCACAACATTCTAAGAAGTAACTTATTATAACTATAAAAACAATCGTTTTATTTCCCATCCAATTGTAATTGATCGATAACACTCGTATTATTATTTCTGAATGTACATTATCTCATATTGAATTCTATCCCAATATCTAATCGATTCCACACATGTATATAAATGAAGGAAAAAGGTGTGTGAGTAACTTGATATGATTATGAGCAATAGTTTGTGCTCGAAACGTCATCAGTTAATATTACCGTACAACACTGTGTGATTTATCAAAATAAAGTCTTATCCATAATGGTGTTTCATAATTTACCCAGTGTAATTGTTGTTAAACGACATTTTACTGAAACTGTAATGAAATATTCTATCACCTTTTTAAGTGACGAAAAAAGACTTACTTTTGCTTGGTAATTAATATTTGCACCCCTTTCTATTAAAAGTCGTGCTATGTTGACATTTCCGTAATGAGCTGCAATGTGTAAAGGTGTAAATCCACTCTGCATGGAAAAAAGATGAAAACAAAGAGAATTATTGCGCGAAGTCTAACAGACTAAGCAATTTTAATTAAACACATATGTGGACTTTGAATCAAGTAACATGAATTCATGAGTGTTCAACTTTGATTCGATTTTATAAGTAAATATACGTAGTAAGGTCTTCATGGAAGTTATAACAGAATCTCTGGAGAAGAAGAGTGAGATGAGGGTTAAAAATCCGCAAGGAAGTTAATAAGCAATAACTAATTAAGAACAAAACATCCCTAATACAGAATGGTTGATATTGTTTGAGCAAAGTGAAGTCAATGCAAGTTTTCTCTGTATCTTGTCACAATAAACATGAAGCCTCCACTAACCGGTTTTGTTCTCTTCATTACTACTGCTATTATGGGTCGATGACTTTACATTTAATTCTATTATTATTCCCATATTTTATTTAGTATTCAAGAATGTAATATTAGAAATTCCTAAAATTGGACCTGGACATTCTTGTGGTGATACTGTTTCCTATCACTTTACTACAAAATCCTAAATACATAATTATGTTAAATTTACAATTATTCAGATTGAAATGAAACCGAAACATATTAAGTATACTATGCTGATGCATGTTAGTTTTCTGTTTTTTAAGACAGCTGTTTCTATGAATCCTTTTCTGGTAATATTTGTTATCTCTTGTCTGTTTAAGTGGAAACGTTTTACTGTTTCTCTTCATATACATCTGCTTTCTTTAGAAATATTATTGTGATTTATAAGTCTGACGGCTAAAATACTTTCACGTATCTTGGATGAAATATATCACTTTTAAGTGCATAACATTAGATATATGACTTTAATGGTGGTAATTTAGATTTCTGACCAAATCTGGGATAATCTGTTCAAAACTGTTTGTTATTACTTTAAAAAAAATAAATTTATCAAAGACTCACAGCTGATGTATGATCCACATTAATTTCAGTGTTACTAAGAAGCAGATTAGCAGCATGTACGTCATCTTTCTTGGCTGCAATGTGTAAGGCAGGTAGGCGACTTTTTCCACGGGAATCTCTTTCCAGTAACAGGCTTACCACACGATCATGACCTTGTTGCAATGCCACTGCCAGTGGAGTGAAACCATCCTGAAGATAACAGATTGTAAGTGCTTTAGTAATAATTATTGTTTACTAACCAATTGATGCATATACATGTACGGGTGTAATTCTTCATTTATAAAAACTAAAGTAAATTAACTGATGCGCCTAATGTGATGATTTTCTGTTTTAGTTTAATTTCTTATGGCAGTTTAGGTAAAGTAAGTGTGGAGCTAGTAGACATTACTCATCCTAAATAAGCTATACTTAAAAAAGTTCCAGTGACTCCAGGAAACCAATGAATATTATAGTGAATGGTCACTTAAAATATTGTAGTTAAGAAAAATAATAAGTATTGTTAACTCTGAAGATATTTTAATTCTATTCATAATTTGTTTGTCTTATTGGAGTACAAAAATACTGTGATGTCAGAACCGTTTTTGGTTAAACGTTTCGACGACTAATTTTTATCAGTGTATCTGAACTCTCCTAACAGTGGCTCCCACTTAAAATGAAGTTACAGGGTATTCTGATGTGTAACAGTCAACTGACTGTTGATCGAACAAGTGTTGCTTTCTGGTTTGTATATCATTTTGTGTGTGGAAGCTTATGTAAAATGTGATTATCAGTCATGACTTACATGTTAACCAGTAAAACATAGATTGGTAGTTCAAACCAACTCTCAATTAAAGCGTTTTTTCACTTCTTAGCGTACCTTTGATATGCAACACTATAGATTCTTATTTCGCTTTTTATCAATAAGACACTGAATGGCAAATTAGGATTTTTGTCAAAAGAATATACCGCATTTTCCTTCTTTCATGAAGTGTAATTCATCTTCTTCGGATTTCACCAACTGAGCTTTTGTATCGGTTGCTGCTAAGTTTGTTTCACTTGGAAAAACACTTAAGTAAATCATGTAAATGATAAGTCTAAGGCAGAACAAATGAGAATTCTGAATTATGCTGCTAACCTTCACTAAATATAATCAGAACTACTGAAATATAAAATTCTCCCTCATCAAAAACAGTTTACTTGCCATAGTTACCTGATAAACAAATTATACAGAATTCAACTGTGTTTCAATTAAAAATTGAGTTTAGACAGGATAAATAATAACCTCCTATGTTGTGATGAATTTCACTCCAAACTAAAACAGATTTATAGCAGCGTGCAGCAATACTGATATCTGTTTTTTTCTTACAATCTTCAAAATAATACTTTTTCTCACAACACAAATGCACTTTAAATCTGTTTTCTCATATAAGGGACATCGTACTTCCGGAGTCAAAGTGAATGTTAGGTAAGTAAAGCATAAACTACTTACAACTAATCTGAAGGTTTTCTGAAGTTGTGTACATGTATGTGTGTGTGTCGTATTAAAAAAACGTAATGAATAGTCTGTTTACCATGGTGATCTGTTAGCATTAATATTCAATACGCAAATTTCTATATAGGCTCTGGGTAAGTAGTTGTAATATATAAACAGTCTAACTGTTCCAGTATATATTCAACTGCAGTCGAAATATTCATACATTGGTTATAAATTTTTAATCGGTCATATGAGCTTAGAAAATATGAGTATTTTTATTTTAACTCAAAATGTTAAATTTAAGGAAAGGTTACAATGTTCCCATCCGTCATTTTTTGTTTATTGTAAGTAAGATATGTACTTAGAAATATTTATTTGAACGAACAGTGACCTTTCTTTCCAACTTTTTAACAGCAGAATTTATAAATTCAGACAGAAAGCGAAGGCATAAAACTGTCTTAGGCTTTTACAGAGCCGCCAGTAATTTGAGTTATCCAGAGTAAGACTAGCAGTGCCAAATTCAAAAAGCCAAAGAGCCATTTGGCAAATAAAATATGGCCGAAAACGGCTCATGGACTGCAATGAAGGTGTCATTTGTAAGTGTGAGAAAGTGACTCCCATTGAAAATTTAGGTTGAGTATATAGAAAAAGTTGATCCAAAACTTGTTGCATATTTCTGTAATACGTTCTGGACCAACTGATAACATCTTTATTCACTGAGACAGTTTGAATAAGAGTGAGAAAATGTCAAGGATAAAACAAATGAGATAATGGGAAATCGGCGAATATGGAGACTGTTAAGAGAAGTATGAGAATAATTTTTTGTGCTGTTGATGTCTACTAGTATAAGTGGCGTAAGAACAAAGAAAGTAGGAACGAATATGAAAATGCAGACAGCTTTACCGAATCTCAGTAGATGTCTTTAACTATCTCTGTATAAAGTCAAAAAAACTGCTTCAAGTCTGATTTTGTGAATTCCACTCTTCAAAATACTTCATTATAGATGTGAAGATAGTTATGAGTCAACCGAGCTTATTGCATCTTGAGAGTTCATCTGTTTTAGAAGTCATTTAGGAACATATTTTCTCAACATCATCTATATATCACAACGAATCACCCTTATGGGTTTTCATACATATGAAAATTGGTAGCGGCGATGAATTGTATAAAACCGCTAAGATGGTGTTTGCCTTTTTGATAAACTAGTACGAGTAAGACACTAAAAATGCCTAAATAAAATGGGCGTGCATGAACAACAGGTATGATGAATAAAAATTTCTCTTTCAGAAAGTAGACACCCAGTAAATTTTGTGTATTCTGACTGTTGTCAGAATTTCACTGGATCATATCAACGTACGCATTGTGGTGCGTCATCCACAGACTACCTTCTGCATATTAAATTCTTATATAAATTTGGTTAATAGTTGTTTCCGAAATCTTCTTAATGGCTGAAACTAGTTATTCAGAATTTGCAGTTAGCCGCACAGCGCGACAGTGTTATATATGTATATATAAATCAGCATTGAACATTCATTGAACAATAGTTGATAAACTCGTCGCTCAACAAGCTTCTGTGAAGTTTCATAAATAAGTAGATATGACTGGGTTTGGTGGTGAAGTCATAGTTATTTGACGTAGTTATGACGTCGACTGATGGTACCAGTATGCATCTAAGCTACTCATAACTGAAGTAGAACTCCAACAAAACAATCTCAGTTTATTTGAATATGCTAGCTACATAACGGATAATATGAGTGAAAAGCTTCGTATTCGCTGTCATTATAGACTTGTCATTGTTTTGCAGACACAGTATGCTTCATCATACAAGTTTCATTAGAGGATAAATATAAACCAAAACTAAATCAGCGTCGGTGGCACAGCGGTTAGGACGCTCGCAGACCATGCATATTGTCCGGGATTCGATCCACGGCAGACGCACTCTTTTACTCTTTTACCTCGCTAAGCCAGAATTAAAGCTGGTAAAGAGAAAAGGTTGGGCATGAGGCTAGCAACCTCATCCTGTAAAAATGAACACTACTACAGAAACTTCAAGCTTCTAGCTTGAAGCCCTATGTTCCACTGGAAACGTGAAGGAATAAAAAAACCTGAATCAGCAAATAACTAAGGTAGATCAGAGGTTTTAGTAGACTAGAAATACTTATGTGAACACTGAGAGAAGTGAATTAAGAAAAATATTACTTTCCGGAAAACAAAATTGAAAAGCGTTCGTGCAAGGAGTGTGGATATAAAATTTGGCAAAGTGATTAGTTCTTCCAGTCAGATTTATTTCATCCGGTGGTACTTCACTTGTGAGCCCACTTTTTCTGTCTAGTCCCCGAGATTGGGAATTCTGTTAAATCTTAAACATCAGAATGAAAACATATTTTGAGACACTTTTGATCTCAGAAGTGGAGTTTATATGCGTTATTACTTCTGTGACAGCGTTGCAATGTGATAACAAATGTAAGAGAAACACTCAACACTTAGGGGTGAAGCCATGCAAAGTCTATTTTATTGTGTGGTTTTACCTACTTAACTGCACAGCTACACTAGATTCACGACTAGAAAAATTTATTGTCGAATTTTCATTCATACCCAGTAGTTTAGCTAAAAAAGACAGTACGAATAGAAATGTATCTACATGTACATCTATTCACAATAAAACATGAGGTTAGCATTCATGCGATATTTGAAGTTACTTATTACATGTCACCTATTCTCAGTAGTGTTTGTAGCACTTAACTTCAGCATGAATTATAGTTTCTTAGGTTCCATAATCAGCATAACTAACAGAATACTAACAGCCTATTTTATACACACAAATTTATTAATATATATATATGCTTAAAAAAATGGGCGTGCATGAACAACAGATATGATGAATACAAATTTCTCTTTCAGAAAGTAGACACCCAGTAAATTTTGTGTATTCTAACTGCTGTCATGCGTGATCAACTTGTAAAAATAAAACTAATCCTTACAAACCAACTATAGGAAATTAATCTGATACTAACTAGTGACTTGTTACAGGACAGACTTTCCTGGAGTTCTAATGAGAAGTTGTGAACAGTGAGATCCATCCAGTCAAGTGTGATGATGGATGTCCTACAGATGACATTGGTTGGGGTTTCGCTAAATCACGAATTTGTAGAAGTTAGAATTCATTAATTCGCCATTGAATCAGATCCCAGTAGCTGGATAGTATACGAGCTTGCCTTGTAACCGGAAGGTCCTGGGTTCGAACTCCAGTGGGTGCGCACTGCCGATGATTCCCAAACTAGGACGAAACAGCTGTCCAGTACTTCCTGGATGTCAGTGGTTCTCTAAATGATATCAATCCATGATCAACTCGTGAAAGCAAAACTAATCCTTACAAACCAACTGTAGAAAATGAATATATATCACCAACTGGCAGAATGTGGAATTCACGAACCAGTGGTTTAATATTCTACAAGATTACCTTGTAATCGGAAGCTACTGGGTTTGAAACTGAGGGCATGCGTACTGATGAAGACCTTCGAACTCGGACGAAATGACCTTCCAATAGTCTCAGATTTACAACGGTCCTCTAAATGATGTTAAAACTTAATGTTCTGATTGTTTAGTATCCTAAAATGTGTTGTATTCGAGCTACACATTTTGAACAATCTGATCACACATTTACTTGTCAAGTCGATATATATATGGAAAAATTTAGGGCAATTAAACTGAACAAAGTGACGAAAAGGATTTTTTAAAATAAGAATAAGTAACATGAGGTAAATAATGATTACCAAGGTAGGTTAAGAGTATTAATAAACTATTTTTAAAAACATGGAGAGGAGGGTGGCTTAAGTTTATGAATAGCTATATCCTCAGCGTATTTCAATAAGCGCACTTGACCATTTTTATGGATGACCTTAAAAGCTGTATTAACATCAATCATCTCGATTAGATTGATTTTCCACAATTCATTTGTTTTTCTAATCATTTCGGGATTTGCTCTCCCACCCTCACATGCAAGGCGCGATTACTCCTCCCCATGTATGTATCCAGACACACACGAAAATTGGTAAATAGTGTGTAATGTGACTTGTGCACTTTTGAGATTTGCAGTGGAGCGTATTCTTGGTTTTTTCGATAATTACAAGTCGAGCTGCATAATAGGTCCTACGGCTAACGAAATTTAACCTTTGTCTCAAAATCCTACTGTTTATTTCACCGTTATATGGTAATTTGATGAAAACAATTTTCTTAGGGGCGGTATAGGTTGTAGGTTTGAAGACTAATTGACTTCTACACTTGTTTAAAAAGTTTAAAGGATATCCATTCTAACCAAGAGTATCCATCAATATTTCATTTTCTTTCTCTATAACATCAGCTGTGAAAATACATTGAATTATCTTAAATAGACATTTCACCGAGCCTTTCTTATACTGTAATGGACAGAAACTGTGAAAATTAAGATATTGCCCTGTCCCAGTAGACTTTCTGTAAATTGATCGTCTTTTTGAACCATCATCGGTTCGACTCAGAATTATGTCTAAAAATGCAAGCTGGTTGCAACTTTCTTCCTCGAATGTTAGACTTATATGATTCTGTACAGAGTTAAGTCTATATAATAGGCAACTCGCATCTTCATGATCATCACATATCAAAATGATATCATTTAAATGTCTCCTATAGAAGGGTAATTTAGAAATCAAACCAAGGGACAATTTCTCAACATAAGACATGTAAACGTTTGCTAACAAAGGTCCTAATGGACTCCCCATAGCAAAACAATCCGCTTATCGAAAGTGTTCACCTTCAAACGTGAAATGAACGTTGTCACTACATAATAGTAATACATCTTGTATTCCCTTTTCCTTTAACTTATTTGAAATATTTATTACCATTATGTACTGACAACTTTCATTTCACGTTTGAAGGTGAACATTTACGACAAGCGGATGGTCTTGCTATGGGGAGTCCATTAGGACCTTTGTTAGCAGATGTTTACATGTCTTATGTTGAGAACTTGTCCCTTGATTTGTATAACGCAAATGCATTACAATTTTTAGATAATCTCCGTCTTCTAATTACATTATCCACATTTATAAAAGGGACCAATTATTTTAAATCTTTAATATATTTCTTCGCCTGAAATGATGTGACGTATCCATTTTAATCAGTTTCCTTAGATAAAATACACAGTAATAGTTTTCATCGTTTTATTTACTTTGATATCACCTCGTTTTCATCTGTAGATTCACTGATGTCATACTAGTTAACTTATCATTGCACAATAAATTTAGCACGTCATTTTGTTTTGAAGAACGTCGAGTCGCTTGCTGAGGTGGTAGTTGTGAAGAAAGGTTTCTCTGCTGAGTTCTTTGATAAAAGAAATTTCACTTGTTTCACAAACTTTACAGGTAAGCATTATAGTCAGCGTAAAAGGACAAAAATTTCTACACTAAGTGAGACCGATACAGAGACTAAGGTATTAGGAAATGTGATTCAAAGGTGTGCATGTGATCTTGATAAGTAGTACAGAAACTGTGCGGTAGAAGTTGTACATAGGTTCCACTTGTGGTCACTTCATTGTAATAGTGTAACGTTGTTTAGTGGTTATTAGGTTGTGGAAATACTTTTAATGATGTATTAAGCTGTTATAACACCGAATAGCTTTCAACCCTATACCTGTTATTTAGGCTATTGATGGGTTTTCCTGTTTTTCAAGACAGTTTGGCAATTAATTTGTGTACTTAGTACAAAAGTATGGAAAAAGTTGTCAGTCAGCCATCGTTAAACACATTAACAGAAATTATTGGATGAATATTTAGAAACTTACCTCCGTCGATAAAGCCTGGTTAGCAGATTTGTCCAAGAGTAGCTGAACTACTTCAACATGGTTTTCCTGAGCCGACATATAAAGCGGTGTAAACCCGTTCTGGATAATGGCGAAGCGAAAAATATCTGATTAAATTTAGCGAAAACAGAAATTGTTCGTTTATTTGTGTAATATTGTGAATAAAAATCAGTAGTAATTCCATTTCTACAATTTGAAGTCCATATGAATTATGCATCAAACATCATCAACTGTAGTCCATTATGAAGTGAAATAGCAGTAGTTTTAAAGAACTGTTATTTATTAAGCAGTTGTTTAATAAATAAACACTAATTATTTATTTCATGCAGTCTATACACCAATAAAGACCAAACTGAACTCAAGAAGTTAACTGTGGTGTTGCTAGGAGTTTTAATCTTGGCATCAGATATCTCTGTCAGTAGAAATTTTCATTGTCTCACTCACAGTCTCTTTATTTCTTTTAGTGATTTCATTTGCTGGTAATTCACCAGGTGAAAATGTATGTCGATATAGTATTATTGTATTTAATATCCCTGCCATATTTGTGAACAAAAGTAAAACTCAATTTTCATTGGTTTACTGCTAGTAAAATAATATTAGTGACACCTTACAAAACAGGAAGTATTCTCTCATTTCACAGTTTATTTTAGTTATTATTTCTTTTCTGCATTGAAATCAGATGGCAAGGTAAGTTTCTGAGTACTTGTTTTGCGGTGATTCTGCTATAACACGGAAATTGGCAGTTAATGTGATAGTAATATGATAAAAACTTAGGTTTCAAAATTCATTAAATTAGAAATGGTGAGCTATGTACCGCAAAAAATGGAATGAGTGAATAATTACCAAACGATTTTAGTCAACACTAGCCTCAAGATGTCTAGTCATATTAAACATCATGTTGCTGGAGTCAAAAATTTCTTCAGATTCCAACACTTCTAAGCATAGCTCGACCAACAAGAATTCACACTACCAATTTATCAAAGTCAAGGTACTACGGACATCTGTTTTGATTTCCTGCGCAGTAAATACGTCTCATTATCATGCTACTGAAATAATTCACGTTTGTGACGAAAACTGATGGTTTCAAAGTGGACACAGGTAAGACATCTGCTTCAGAACTACAATCAAGTAAGTTTTAATTGTTTGTGGGTGTTTCAGAGATGGAATGATCGCCAACTACCTACACTACCCGGGGTTCGATTCTGGATGGACTCATTCCTAAATGTCAGTCAACAGTAAGCCTGGTAAAGAGGGAAAGTTGGGGATGAGGCTGGCGACGTCACTTCGTAAAAAATAACTCTACTGCTACTGAAGCTTCAAGCCCTATGTTCCACTTGGAACGCAGAGGAAAAAAGAAGAGGCTATCAATAATTAGGCTGTCCGTACACCTCAAGCAGGTTTATTAGAAATGACATATTACTGTTTTTGATCTTCATGTATTTCAACCTTTTTTAAACTAACTGTTTTCTCATGGTCACGCCTTTGGTTTAGTAAGTACTACCTTTTTTGTGATTTTAGTTAACATCATAAGGATTGTTTGCTTCTAATGGTATTTCTCATCAAATGAAGTGCCAAATTATTTGCAGATTCTCAAATTCTGAAAAGCATTGTTTACGAAATGCATTTCATTTTTAGTGTACACGTAATATCAGCACCTACTCTCCTTTATTGGAAAATATATCAAGAAATCTGATTAGAGGTTATCATATGCCACAGTTTCTAAGTTTTCTTATGTCTTTATTTGTAATGAGTGACTAAACTCCATCATCAGACAGTCTAGAAAAATTAATACCGTCAACATTCTCCCAAAATGAAACAAATTTCTCATTATTTCAAAATTCTGTGGGGGACCTTAGTAAGCTCTGTTTAAAACTTGGTGAAGACATGTTTGTGTGACGGAAAAATTGTTTGGAAAATCCCTCCTAACAGATCTAATCCGAATATTTATACTTATTTGGATTTTACAGCTAACTTTATAATTATCATCCGTTTATCTCCTAGACTGTTTATCGTTATTTTGACATTTGCATATCATGTGTTGACTTGATCCTTACTACTTTTCTTAATCTCTAATTTTATTGCTTCTCCTTGTTTTTTTTTATTCCTTCAAGTTCCCAGTGGAACATAGGGCTTCAAGTTAGAGGCTTGAAGTTTCTGTAGCAGTGTTCATTTTTACAGGATGAGGTTGCTAGCCTCATGCCCAACCTTTTCTCTTCACCAGCTTCAGTTCTGGCTTAACGAGGTAAAGGAGTGCGCCGGCCGGGGATCGAACCCCGGACCATGTGCATGGTCGGTGAGCGTCCTAATCACTATGCCACTGACGCTTCTCTTTGTGGTTATGTGATACGTTGATAATGCGTGGTTTTACGATGTGATTTGGATTTAGTGAATGAAGGTTATTCTAACCCGGGACTGTCTGATGGAAGTTTTGCTGTGGGATTCTTGTTGACACACTTTTTGATCCCACTTTGTTGGAAATATTCTACCTGATTCTATATAATTGTTTTGTTCTTACAAAATAACCTAGTATACATAGCTGCCTAACGGCACTGTTGAGTTTTGATGTTATTATTGTTCAACAGGCCTGCAGATTCCTGCTATGAATAATTGTCTTTTTGCTATCTTTGGAGCGTTTGCGACTGTGCTTCTCTCAAGGAAGCTTCGGTCTGGGAAAGAGTAGAACGCAGATATTGGTTCTCTGCTTTCTGACAACAACGACTCGGCTTTGGTCGTTGTAGTTTCTGATGCATTAAGCTACGGATTTTAACAGGACTGGTAATCTACAACATATATTGAAACAACAAATCTAACAACCTGGTCTTTGCTGGCATGCATAGCTGGGGCACTCACTCACTATTCACTATATTAAACTGTCCTCCTAGAGACCAAGTAGTGTAGAATCTTCTTCAGGCGACGGAAGAAATCGCACTTCTTATTAAAATACAAAACGTCTATTGTTTCCATTCTGAGATCGGCTTAACAACGCTATGGGATTTTGTACCAGTGTTTCTGAATGCTGTCCAAGTAAATTAAAAGCCAGAAGAAAGATAAAAACATGGTGGCTGGTATGATAACATATGAAGACAACTATCGTGAGTATAATAATGTGTTACGTAAATGTCTTTAGAAAATGATTCATCTTACCTGAGACTGAGCATTGACATCAGCACCACAATCGATTAAAAGCTTTACAATATCTAAATGGCCCGCCAAACTGGCTATGTGCAGAGCAGTATTACCTTTTTTAGTTATTAAATGAACTGATGCACCATGTGATAACAGTTCGCGTACAACACCAGTTCTCCCTTCTTTGGAGGCTAAATGTAGTGCATTTAACCCATTCTGTAAGAGACAGAAAACAATTTTGTATACAAATACATTTTGAGCGTGGAATGTTTCGTCAACGACTTTTATATGAGGTTAATTAACGTTTTTATTACTTTTTCAAGAGTATCGAAGACAACTTTTGAGATGGAGTTGGAATTTGTACCTAAAAAATCAAATCAAGAGTACCTCAAAAGCAACAAAAACCCACAATTTTTGTTGGAAACATTTATCATAAATTTCCAGGAAATAAAGCCTATTTATTGGATAATCTTAAAGAATATGATTTTATTTGTAACTATTATAGAAAGTTTTCAGAGATGATTGCTTTGCAAACAAACTATTTGAGGGAGAGAAGTACTTAATTATGTTGTATGACAGTCATGTTCACATAAGCGCGTACTAATAATCAGTAGTTCAACACTTATCAAGTTTTTATAATTGTTATTCAAGCAAGTTCTGAAATGGATTTTCCAAAGTTACAACAAAAGTTGTAGTTGGCTGAATAGAGTTATTTAAAGATTTTTGCTGACTGATTAAGTTAGATGACGTTTAGGCTATGTGGCTAGAAGGTGAATTTAGTCACTCTCACCCAGTGACTAAATAGTGTAATGCTAGTGATAGGTTTGGAACTCATTGAAGCCTCACTAATAAAGTTTTATTCTCGAACTTGACATATCCTCTTATCTTATATATTTTTGTGATTGAAATAACTTTAAAATCAGTTAATTCTTCAGGAAACTGAAAGAAATGCAGTGATCAGCTCTGTGCAAGACTTGAACTTCGCTGACGATTCGTGTCTCACACCACGTAAATTCGAAGACTAACAGACGAAAACCAACAAGTTGGCAGAAGGGGCTGACAGAAAAAGCAGAACTTCGAGTGAACATCAGGAGGACCGAGGTGATGAAGAAAACCGACCAACAACAAGCACCAATCACAATCAACGGAATAAATTCGAAACAGGTCACTTCCTTCACTTATTTAGGCAGCATCGTTTTAACCACAGGTAGTTGACACTGATGAGGATGTTGAAACCAGCCAGAATCAGAAAGGTTAGGCAAACATTCATCACTCTGAAATCAGCTTGGAAAAATGCACTCAGCATTAACAATAAAATTCGAGTTTTTCCCACGAATATTACGTCATTTCTTTACGGATCAGAAACTTTCACTGCGCGTCACGAAAAGTATTTTGGACAGCCTGAAGACTTTTATCAACAGCTTCCTCCACTCAATACTGAGTATCAGATGATCAGAAAGAATTAGCAACAGGAAACTCTGTGAACAAACGAATCAAGAACCTGGGAAGCCGTGAGCAGTAGGATACAGCAGGGTAAAGGTGAGGCAGTTGCTCATCGCAGGAGACATTGCGAAGTGGTCGCGCTATGTCATGAATTGGCAGGAATTGCGATTCATGGTTGTTGGATAGAGTCCTAGTGGCTTAATGATCTATGCGCTCGCTTTGTGACCAGAAGGTCCTGAGTTCGAACCCTGGTGGGCCTGTACTGCTGAAGAGTCCCAAACCAGGGTGAAACAGCTGCCCAGTACTCCCAGGTTTTCCAGTGTTTCTCTAACTGATGTCAGTTCATGATGGAACCCTCCAGCAAGATATGTAGGAGAAAATGAAGACGGAGTGGACACACGCTGAGTGACATCGCATTCCAGGCCATCGCTCGAGTGGGACGCGAATAGGAAACGACGAGTTATGCGTTGGTCCGAGGGTGACATGAAGGGCACTATGTGGAGAGAATATTAGAGTTTATGGGCAATCGTGAGACCAACCGGAGGGGACCACAGAGAACAGGAGAAAGTGGAGATGTGCTGCTGAAGCCGTGTTATAGATTATATAATAGATTTATGAGGAGGATTAATTAAATTCCTATTAATTTAATAGTTTTCGCTAGTACACATTTTAGACTTTTCTAAAGTGTATTTAAATAATATCGAGAATCCTGAATAATCTTTAGAAGAGCTGAATGAGACAGGCTAAATGCTCAACTGTGTATTTCAGTTTCTGAAGAAATCTAGACTTTACAATTGCAAAGTACGCGACACAATATGATAAAAACTTATTCATGTTGATTAAAGTACCAGGATACAGACAGTTTGATATATAGCCTAAATATATTTTGGTTGATAGGATGCCTAATATTCTTATATTATCGTCTTTATGTCATTTTGAAAACCCAATATTTTTCGCCTTGCTAACAACACCTACCAATGAGGTTATGGATTTTTGTTAGTTACCAGAATTGCACAAAGTGAGCATACATTGATCATTGAAAAAAATCAACGAGAAGCAAATAGACTTTATTGCTACTGTCAAAACAAAACTGTGTCACATTGTTTCTCAAAAATTGTTTATCAGTGTTTACCAATTACGCTTCAAATATTGATATTTAAAATGACTAGTTTGCTTGTCATTTATACGATCAATATCTGAATGATAAGTGAGATTAGAATTTGATAAGTAGACAACTGAAATTAGTTTGTAAGAACGATACATCGTGCTGAGTTCATGAATTCCATTTCAACTTAAATCGTTCTAAATAATTTTAAACTTTATTTATCTGTAATTTTTTTCATTTTTCTTGTACGAGCTTCTGTAGACTCAAAAAGGTCACTATTCCACCATTACTGATTTCTGTCGAGAAATGAAGCAACATAGAATACTGGAGTCTATTACTTTCTTCCTGAGTGTAAGCGCGATAGTGACTTCTTTGAACATCTGATCTCTGTATGATCAGTGAGAAGGTAATTAAAATAAAATCGGACTTGTGATGGTGTTGTCGCATAAATTTTGTTGATGTCTATTGGGAATTGGATAGAGGCTATAATTCATTTTTTACAAGGACGATAAACGCATATCAGAAGTTTGACCACTATTTTGTTGAAAACTACAAGTCTTCACACTAATACCAGTTCGGTGAGCACAAATGTAGGTATTTTTTAGTGTTGCTTTCGGCTGTTTTTCACTAGGATTGATAATATGGAGATGCGTTGACGGAGATGTATTGGAGATACACCGAAGAGACATTCAAAAAACATCATACATAAGACCTAAGAGTAGATCTCGAGAATGAAGCAACCGGTTAAGTGTCTAATAGTGAAATGGAGACAATCATGTGAAGAGAAAATGAAAGCTTGAGGTCAGCAGAAGAGCCAGCTGAAAATAGTAGCAGAAAACTGTGTCATATCGGGATGTGCCACTGAAACCTTATGTCCATTCGGATGGCAAGGAATGAATAATAATAGTGGAAGCCAGTGTCGTGTTAATAGAATTTTGAATATAATAATGGCAATACGGATGTTCTCCCTTTTTGGTATTACTCTGGGTGGATGTGTCAAATAGCCATCAAGTGAATAATGCTGTATTACCTTGTGTTTATTGAATAGACAAATCGAATATGAAATTATGATATATTACTCGTCCATCCTAAAATCGGACGCTTTTAGTTCGTGAGATATGATTAAGCGCCTGAACGTTTTGCGGGCATTTCGAATTATTCTTGAACTGGTTCTTGGTAGTATGAACCCAAGAAGTTATATTCTACTGGAAACCCCTTCCTTCAAACAGTTCAATCAAACAATGGATTATCAGGATTCAGTGGGCTTTAATTAATTGATTTCACAACCTCAGACATTTTCATAATGTAAGCATTTAAAGGGGAGCCTCGTAATTCCACTAGATTGTCACTGATTCAAATTTCCTCAGTATAAAACATAAATCTGTTTTGTAAAATTCCGAAAGATCAGTTTTATTGACTTATTGAAAAGGGATCTGTGTAAAAAGATTTCTTCTAACTCACTTATTAAATTAGAACATATTTGATAATAAAGATATTTTATTGTGACAATAGATAATGGTTGAACCATGGGTGAAATATATAGAAAATACTCTTGAAATTAGTGGCAGATGCATTTGAAGTACTTCTCACTTTCCGTAAAACCGTTGTACACGCAACATAACTTTAAAATAAGTTTATTCAGTAAGAGAGGCAAGTTTTAGGACTTAGTACTCTGGTGGGTAAAATTATCAGCATTTATCGAAAGATACTAATTGTTGTAGCCTAAAGGGAATGAATAACAAGAACTAGCTCCTAAAAGTTTTCTTTCAAGATGTTTGTTTTGAGCATGATATGTCCAACCGGGGAGCACTTTTATTCTTTTAAATCAGCTGCTTATGACATAAGTCAAAGTGACCCAGCCTTGTTAGGATTTTACTAATGGTGATAATTTAGAAAATGTACAGTCTTGCTGATTGATTTAGTGAAGTCTTATTCATCGATATATTGTGTTGGAAAACAAAGTAGATTAATGTTGGAATGAAAGTATGGATCGCATCCAAGCGTTTCCCAGAATCCTGCCTGACATTAGATACTTTCTCAAAATGAGTTCTTAATGCATCCCTGTAGAAAATGTAGAGCAATAAAGAACTTCAAACTATTGTTTATCAGACTAAGACATATGGTGAATTCCCCTCACTATTAAGTACAAGACATAAAGTGAATAAATACTTTGTCTCATTATTTCTTGTTTGGTAGTGGCTAGTTGTGAAATTTGGGATTTGTATTTCATCTCAACTGCGATTTGTTAGAAGCATATACCTGCATCCCAGTGATTAACAGTGGTTTAAACATATAGAGCACTTCTTTCAAGTGGATATTTACTGAATACAGTTGCGAAAAAATAAAGTTCTGTAACTGTATTTCAAGAAACAGGATGTTGGTGTAAAGTGATCAGTTGCTGTTAGGAAATCTTCTGCAGATACCATGTTATATCAGAGGATGGAAATTGTTGTAGTACGGCCTCGTATTACTTGTTCTTTTGAAGAAATAACGCAGCTTTGTTAAATTGATAAAAAGGAAATTCTATAAATTCGTGTGAACACAGGCAGAAATTTGTTTGGAATATTAACAAAAAAAAATTTATCGTTGTTTACAAGCAACCATTACAAATATATCATTGATATAAGAATAAAACCTGTGGTAGAGTATAATTCCATTATGGGTAAAATTTATTTTGATAACGTTTCGAGCACAAATATATTTGTAATAATTTGATGCACCAAGTTATTCATAAGCATTTCACGGCAAATACATCACTCTAGAACTTGATTTTAGTGGTACTAAAAGTCTTTACTTTTCTAGTTTTAATTGTAGTAGAATTTTATAAATGTCACAGGTGGTTGATGAGTTAATGGATAATGGAAACTGATTTTGATTAAGAGACGTTTAACAGTTATTATCTTTGTTAATCTAATGATGTCAGATATTAGGACAAGATGATGTCGTTTTTAGTAAAAAATCAAACGCAATATCTGATGATTTAATTCCATTCTACAACAGACGGGTGCTATGCATGTTTGAATCCTTTTTATACTCGTATTTGGTAAGTCTCGCTTTAATTAGCGAATATAAGAGTAGGACCTCAGAACAGTGGTAGAGAATTGTTGACATCAGAGCTCCTTTCCTGTGTAAATTTTTCTCAACACTGAAGTGATTTTTAAACGTTTGTGTTAAACTAGACAGTGTATCGAACTGTTGTAGAGAAACATGTCTTACGAAGCCATTCAACTTTTTCTACGACCATTTGATGTTAGTTATTTAACGTTTTAATGAAAAATTTTAACCTTCAATTTAGACTACAGTTAATTTATTTAGCAAATCGAGTAACTTCAAATATGTTGATCATTTGGATGTCATCCCATAATTCTGAGATGAAAATTATTTCATTTCTACTATAGAAGGATGTATTCCCTCTACTTTGCAGTGTTAGAATGGTAATAGATATAACTTCAAGCTATTACTGTTATAAATATCTTTGTTATTTCTGATCCACGGAAATTATCGATTCTTCGTTTAAATAAGAAAATATAAGAAAGTTGGAATTATTAAAAACACCTACGACTGAAATGAAGCTTCATGGATTAAAATTAGAGTAACACTTTCCTTGTTATTAGAAAATGTTATTAAAAGTAGCTACATAAAAACTATATTTTAAATGTTTACTTTTATTCCAATCTTCTTAAAGATAGTTTCTTAGTATGATTAACTTTTTATTTTCTTGAGAAACTAGTATAGATTACGTTGTATTACGCACACATTATAAGTTTTTTGTAATTAGATATATAAAAAAGGAAATAAACTTGTATTATCTGGCTCCGTATATAATTTTCAGTACATAATCCATTGTTATTCAAAATATTCTTGTTGTTTGAAAACTTCCTCTACCCTGAACTTCATGTCCTGAAGATTTGCTCTCTTCAGTTATATTTCTGATAGTAATTTTTCAGATAATGAGCAAAATTTGTAGCTCGACTATTCTGCAGAAATTTCATACTTGTACAAGATTATCTACATTTCTGTGTTATCAGATAGTATTTTTATAACCAGTAAAAAGCATCTAATATCTAACTAGAATTTATATTTGACACACAGATGGGTTCATGCAAATATCATTTAGCTAAATCAGCTGGTCTCCGAAATTCTGCGGTAACAATTTCACACTAATCGCTTAATTTTGTATCTGGTTATTATGAAAACTGATGACATGTAACTGCCCATAATGTCAAAACCTAGTCAGGCTTTCTTTGACTATTTCAGAGGTAAATAGTGATTTTTTTTCAATCGGTCAGCACTCATGAAGAAAATATTCAAATCTGTACACAATTTTGTTTTTTTTTATATCACACCATTTTGTGGTAGTGAAATCGGATTTTCACCTACTGTTTACAGTTTACTTAGACATGGATTTCACTGAAAAAATTCCTAAACTTGTTTGTTCACAGATTTTTTAGCTTCCTGGTTGGTTTTATGCACGACCAAGGTAGTCTTCCATTATCTACTGCTTAAGTGATTTAATGTTTGGCATGAATAATTAACCTTCTAATAATACCTTTTATAAACATAACTTCAGTTTACAACACTTAGTTTTTAAAATAAATAATCTGTTAAATTTCTTTGGAAAGATAGTTTGTTAAGTTCAACGAGTAAGCTGAAATTCTGAAAACAAACTTTTAACATTGAATCTTAATTTTTCAGGAAACCAGTAAATCACTAATTGTTCAAAGGCAATTGCTACAATTTCGTATTGAAATTTCGGTGACTAAAACGATAATATAATAAAACACCCAGGAGCCTGGCCTGGAACCTTAACGTGCGAGCTTATAGTTCAATGCATTTTTTTCAAAATTCATACCCAAAATACCATGGAAGTACTGTTAAAATATAACAATAATTTTTTGTTTGGCAAGTATCCAGAATAATTGTAAACAAATGCTGAAACTAGGATAACACAGCTGTTCAGTACTCCCGGGTTGTCAATGGTTCTCTAACTCATATTCATCCGTGGTCAAACTCGGAAAACAAATCTAATCCTTACAAACCATCTCTTGAAAATGCATAAAAATTTTAATTTGTTTCTCAAGCATTTTATGGTAAACTAGGCAAGGCAGTGGATTCTTACGGGAGAAATGTATTCCTTTTATTATTCTGAATAAAAGCACATCAAGAAATAACTCACGTTATTTGCTACATCGATATCTGTTATTGTATTGAGCAACTCAAGTACTTTTGGTAAATTTCCTGCTCTGGCTGCACGAAGGAAACTTTGGTTTGCTTCAGCCTGTTTCGACTTCACATTGTAATTTTTATGATTTCCATGTGTTGTTTTTGTCAGTAGGCATGGTTGTTCATGATGACCATTAATTTCATTTGTTTGTTTATGAGAAAAATATTACGTAACCATAGTGATTGTTTCATTTTTATTCCCGTATATTTCAGGATGTTACGGAATGTGTTTAATTTGCATTTTTCATTTCCCGTTGAATTATTTCCATAGTGTTTTCATGATAACACGGTTGGAATGTAGAAAATGTTGAAGGCGATGAAGTTGACAACATGGATGTATCCCACAGATTTGTGGATTTGACACAGATTTAAGAAGAAAAAAATACTGAGAATTAGTTCATTATGGTGGTATAGGAAAACATGTAACAAAAGAACATAAGGAATGTTTTTTTCAACCAACCATAATTCCCATTGCTAATGATAATATTACATACAAGTCACCAGCTTGTTGGCAAAACCAAAATGCTCCAGGTATTTCACCGTATTCTTCCCATCGGTCATTCCATTTATTTCATATTGATATTGACGCACTCGCCTTACATGTAGACGACTATTCAGATATCATTGTGGCCAATGCTTGCAACCTATGCAGTAGTTATTATCATATGCAGTATTTTTCATATCTTTACCTGATCATGCATATATTTTTTCATAAGGAAAAACACACACGCATACAATAATAAGAATTCACTAGTGGTATTTTATAATCACTAATTAAAATTTAAGGAAATAGTTAAAAAGCTGAAATGTATCTGCATTTTGCTGTTCCTCTCACTTTTCCTACAATGAAGTGAAAAAAACTCTACTTCCCTGAGGAGAAGAATAAACGAATTATTAGGTCATCAGCTTATTTTTACTCATAGCTTGCCAAATATCTCCTATTTGTCTATATGACAATTCTAAAGTTCATCAGTGATGAACACTTACAACATTTGTTGAGAATATGCAGTCCATTCTGTTAATTTACTATAAAAGATGTCCTGAGTGGTTTCCTGAGAGATTTAAACATCTGTGTGACAATGGGCAACAATAGTTAAGAAGTAGTGAGTTTAAAGAAAAACTCAAATATTTTAGGGAACTGGTTATCAAAGAAACCTTCTGACATACTTTGTTTGGACACTGGGTAGTAACTGATGTCGTGCGTCTAGTCCTTGGTGTTAGTGTACTTATTTATTTCAGTTAGGTTATTTGAACTAAACCTTATTTAGTTGAACAGAAAATATATTGCACAACCTACAACTTTTAAAATGTTTAACTGAATAGTCACAAGCTTGATAGTACCGAAATGGCCTGTGACAGACAAGTAAGATCATAAAAATGTAAAAAAAGAATGAAACATTTTATTATGAGTTCAGTGTCATATCAACCTCCAACTAAAAGTCACTGATCAGAATCCTGTAGTTACTTGATATATTAGTCTTTAGTCAACAATCCTCAGTAGTCTCCCACATCCTTCCAAGCTTACGTTATTTCGGGTGCTCAGGCTATGTAGATATGGTAAGTGATTGTCTTAAGAGTCATGTATCTCAACCGTTAGTTAAATAATTCTGTGTAAGTACATTTTCTGTCTATTCGGTGAATTCACAAACATAGTGAAACTCAATAAACAACGTATACCTCCAAGTTATCTTAAATAATCAGTTACATTTATTATCTTACTTGGGACAATATTATTTCATGAAACACGTTATACTTGTCAGTACGCCTCTGATAAAAAAGCAAATGCTAATTTAGTGTGCTTTAATTAGTAATAATTTAAATTGTTTCTTTCATATTATCTCTCCTTCATCATATGAATAAAATAATGTTTGGTGTTGAAATATTTAGTTTTGGGAGACACTAGTAGATAGAGAGCAGTCACACTGTCTACAAGAGCCTAATTAGTCGATGATCGTGAATTGAACATCCCAAATAAGCATTATCTGAGATCTATCAGTGGGTTAACTGAGACCACAATGTTGTGTACCATAGTACATGCTTCCTTGTCAGATTTTGAAAGCTAACCGCCGTGAAATTCTGAACTGAGTTTTCTTGCCTGTAAGCATTCCTCTATAGTATGTTTGTGCAGAGTCTGTACATCTTCTGCCTCATCCGGGATTCAAATCTGCATTGTTAAAGTTGAATAATTTACGGACTGAATAGTTTTAGCACTAGCAATTAAAGTGCAATTAAATTTTCATTTTATGAGCACATAAAGTGTTAAGAAAGGTTTATTTAAAGTTTACTTATATCAGAAGGCAGCACCAAAATAATCCTTATCATTCAGCCACAGGTATTTCATCTCATTCTAGGATATTTTAACATTACACCAGTCTATAATTATTTAACTCTAAGCTCCTAGGTTTTTTATACTAGCAAACTGATTTGATTCATTAAACCTACATTTTTCAGGTAAAACCATTATTGCTTTCATTGACATTGACTTCCTCGAGTTTCATAGTTAATCTAGTAAAGATCCGACAAGTTCCTTTTTTGATACGGTTGCTATATTTTTAAGTATTCTGCCTATCACTTAACAAGTAAGTCGTCATGATTTTTAAAGTTTATATCCACCAGGTAAAGATGAATTAATTAATTAAATTAATTGTAAAAACGTGATAATGGACAGAATGATAATTGTTTCATCATGATGATCAGTTTAATTCTTTTTGTGGTATACTAAATAAATACAGGTAGGTATATTAGAAGTTAAGCAGCTCTAAAATAATGTTCCGACAATTTTTTAACCACTTTAAGTTTATGATCTATTTGGCCGGGCTTCCGGATAATTTGTTAAAGATAGAACCTATGTTTGGTTGGTCACAACATGTCATAGCCTAGTTATTGACGGAAGGAATAGCAATGAAATTAGTGATTGTTGGAAAGTTGACGATAACTCAGGGTGCCTTTCAACTTCTTGTGCTTGCTTTTATTCTAGTATGTATGCATTATACAGTAGTGAAACGAATGGTTATTAAATTCCTTATGTTAGCAGGAAAGCCAAAAACAAGTTTCTCTCATTTTAGAATGAAAAACTGATTTTTGGGCAGTTATTACACGAATACAACTCCTTTAATAAATGGAAATGATAATGGCGATTACTTTAAACAAAACTGCCAAAATATGTTGGACTGTATATGTATGTATGTGTTCGTGTAAATTTCCTCTTAAATGGCATGCCACTCAAATAAACTAATATCTGGTTAAATTGAACAGTATCAGAATGTGAGTGAAACTTGTAATATTTTTATTTTAAACATTTTCATCGAAAAGTACACGAGAAGAGGAAAGAATTCTGATGTACGGGATATGTTAACAATAACAATTATATATCAACTACACGAAACTAGATATTGTGCTTCATTTATCGTTCTTCATCTATTTTAGGTTAGATATTTCAATTTGATGAACAATTGGAGTAATCATTTGAAAGTGGTTGTAATTAATGGAACACTAGAAGCTTATAAATTGATTTTTTTCCTTCACAATATTTCGAGACTCGCAGATATTTTAGATACTGAATTTAAATGTTTGCTACCATAGAGTCGAAATATCTAGATTCGAATGAAATTTTACAGTTCACAAATTAGTGGACATCTAACTTGTACACAGATGTTAAGTTCATTTACTTTCAAATTTGTACAAGGTAAATTTATTACATCACCTATTCCAGTTAAAATATCAGCGTAAAGAGGAACTGTCTCTTTGTTCAGATGAATATTTGAATATTCGTGATCTTTAGTGTTATTAGTAAAAGAAACTAAATTTAAGTTGGTTTGACTGGAGAACAAATGTTGTATCGTTGAATCCAATTTGTTTTACTGTACTTAAAAAACTAGAACTTATGTAAGATAGAGATTACTGTAGTATCTAGACAAATTATTTACTATTCACACTGTATTAGGAAATATTTATCTAACTCAATGTCATAATGGTAAAATATTACAATTCCTCAAAAAAGTCTAGTTAAACAAAAGAGTTAGGAGTTACAAATGTGTTGATCTGTTGAAAATTTCGATATACCTAATTCTTCACTGAAAAACTATACCATATGCTTCTCTTAGTGAATTCAAACAGGCACAAACCTTCTGAAATAAAGTTTTCGTATGGGTTTTCAATTATTAAAATCAGTATAGAAAGTGACATAGAAAGAAAGAAATCTCATCATCCGTCAAACTTCATACCATTTTATTTGACTGACTAAGCGAAACATGAAGTTCTGCATCAATATATCATCCAAACAGATCTATCAAGAGTCACATGGTCATTTTAAGGTCAGTTATACGTGGAGTAGCATTTCAATCCGTTACCTACCACTACCTATAATATATACCATTCCATCATATTTATTTTGATACACTGGTCATCCTAATGCCCACTGAAATTTAGATGTGCAGGCATTAAAGTATCCCCCGATTAATTCCTTTCTGATAATTGACTACGTATTGATTACCTATTGTCATAGTTGAAGCGAATTAGTTATAAGTGGCCTCTAATGGAAATATGTAAACTTCAATTTTTCCAGAATAAAGTTATCTATCTCACTCTCATGGAGTGTATCAGGGTCAAACACTATTGATTCACTGCAAACCGAAAATATGTTGTTTTATGTGCTTATGCTCTAATTGCTGGCCAAACTGTGGAGCCTTCATAAACACTTAATCAGAAAATGTGAACACAGTATGAAAGTGTAGCAATCATAATAAATTTTGCTAAAAACATTACAAAAAGGGTCTTGTTTTACCTATGCCTTTACTTATCATTTTATCATCAACGGCCTATTCATCCTGGATCTGTATTTGCGAATAATCAGTAATCATTCCGTTTTTCCTTAAGACTATGCTGCGATCATCAGTAAGAAGGAAAAACTTTATAAGAAAATAAAGCTTTCCTTTGTAGGCTCATATATACTGCATATATCACCATGTCCGTTTATTTCTTTTTATTTGAGTGACCAACAGATCTAATAAACGACAGCGCAAACAGGTGTTTCAAATTTAATAAAAACATTTGATGTACAAGTGA